GACAGCCAATTACCTCAGGAATGTGTGTTGGAAATGATCGACACTCATATACCAGTGAATGGTAGCCACAGGCATACGACCCAACGGGGTCCAGCGCTTTGCTGGTCTTAACAATGTGTCGCCAACTGCTGTGTCAACTGTCATGCCATATGAAGCTTTCTTCAACGTCCGTCCTAACGTCAGTCACCTTCGAGTTTTTGGGTGCGTCGCCTACATCCACATACCTGACGTCAAACGCGACAAGTTCGATCCGGTGAGCAGGCGTGGAATACTTGTCGGTTACGGGAACGGAGGACAGTACCGTGTGCTGTACAAGGATGGCATTATTGCCATCGTTTCTAACGTTTGCTTTGATGAGTCTAATGTCGGCCGGCGGTGTAATGCCGGGGACTCCGATTATGAGTCTGATGCCGACGAGGAGGAGGATTTTCGCACTAGTTTGCCTGGTGAGGGATCGCTGCCTAGGGCTGGTGAAGGGATACCAGGCAGCACTGTCAGCGAGGGATCACCGCACTTGGGTGGCGAGGGGGCGCCGGCTGGGGCTGGACCTTCCATAAGTGTGAACGGGCAAGGAATTAATCAGCCTGATGTGGAAATGGCGGGAACTAGGTATCCAGTTAGAGAACGTAAACACCCTGGCGAATGGTGGCGAAATGAACCTGGTGGCACTGTCACTGGTCACGTTAACGCTGCTTTCTCTGCTGGTATTCCTGAACTTAATTCGTTTGCGGAGGCCATTTCAGATCCACATGCAGACAACTGGTGGCCTCCTCCTCGTCAGCATCGGACTCATAATCGGAGTCCCCGGCATTATGCCGCCGGCCGACGTTAGACTCATCAAAGCGAACGTTAGAAACTACGGCAATAATGCCGTCCTTGTACAGCACACGGTACTGTCCTCCGTTCCTGTAACTGACAAGTATTCCACGCCTGCTCACCGGATCGAACTTGTCGCGTTTGACGTCAGGTACGTGGACATAGGCGATGCACCCAAAAACTCAAAGGTGACTGACGTTAGGACGGACGTTGAAGAAAGCTTCATATGGCGTGACAGTTAACCCAGCAGTTGGTGACACATTCCTGAGGTCTGGTCTGGGTTGACACTACTGCAATTAGCGGTTTAAGGTCCTGGGTTCGATTCCTGGGGAGACCCCCGAATTAGTCGGGAGCGCGAGATTATGGCTAGCTGCTGAGATGTGGAGTTGAGGTCACAGTTGATGGACCAGATTCGCACGCTGGATTGGTGGCGATTGCCGAACCCTCCGTCTCTTCGGGTGTTCGGGTGAATGGATGAGGAGGGGTCCCCGAAGGCTGGATCCGCCGCCTTGGACTTCCAGTTCGTATGGCGAAGTACAGTGTGGTAGTGGTGGATGGTGCTATAAGGTGATAAATGATCTAGAACTGACAATGTGATAAAGCGGCCCAGAAGCTTCCCACTCTGTAACATTACATTACATTACATTACATTACATTCCTGAGGTAATTGGCTGTCACCAACACTTCCGCCCATAATGACTTAGGTAGTCCGGACTCGACAAGCATAGCCCTAGTTTTGTCTAGGAGAGTGCGATTCCAACATTCCACAGCTCTGTTCTGCTCAGGGGTGTAGCCTACCGTAGTTCCATGTACAATGCCCCTGGACGCGAAATAGCCCTTCGTGTGAGTATTAATGAACTCCCTGCCACGATCTGTACGCACCTCCTTAACCTGCCTGCTAGAAGCGCGCTCCAGTTCCGCTATCATTACCACCATCTTCTGATAGACCTCCTTCTTGGTCGCTGTAAACGCAACAGCTGAAAGACTGGTATGATCGTCAAGCAGAGTTGTCACATAACGCGAACCACTAGGCGAAGGTTCAGGCATAGGTCCACACACATCCATGTGAACTAGTGCTAGTGGCTGAGCTGCCTTGTGCCCTGTTAACAGAAAAGGACCTCATGTCTGTTTTGCATAAACACAGGTCTCACAAACACACATGCTGGCTTTCTGAAAGCTGTGCTGGTCGACATCAAATCCTATTACCATATTGTGGCGCAGCAACGCCTCGAGGTTGCTGTAGCCCAGATGTCCGTAACACCGATGCCAAAGTGTTGCACGTTCCGTCTTGGATTCCACGGTGGTGCACGTTGTACCATTTCCGTTGTCACAGTAGCTCGTATTCTGTGTCCTCCTGATGGTGCCTGTACTTCCACCTCGATAGCAAATGGGGTAGAGATCACCGTCCCGTTCACTGGTCAACACTAAATGATTTTGCAAGTATACCTTTACTTGACCGTCACCAAAGACGATGCTACCTCCACGATCATCGATGATACGGACGGACAAAATCTTTACCATCGCCTCCTCGTCAATGTAGACCCTTTTGAATGTGATGGCTTGATTGTCGTTGACATTAGATCGAATGGTAAGTGATCCAACCTCTGTCGGACGCAGTGACTGGCCCTTAATGCCCACAATGCTGAAGCGTTCCCAAGGCTCCAACACACGTAGATTGAATAGTTCGGATCGGGTGTAAGTTACATGGTGAGTAGATGCGGAGTCCAGAAACCATTCTGTCGGACGCTTGTTGTTGTATGCTACAAACGCTACCTGCCGTGGAACACCTGGCCCCCTAGCTGATCCACTGGATCCTGGCTTGCTGCCACTAGCTCTGCTGCCACTGTTGTTGTAGCCACCCTTATATCCAGAAATTGACGACTGCTTGAGCGCTTTAAGCTGCCTGCAGTCCTTTACCACATGCCCAGGCTTATTACAGTAGTAGCAAACGATCTGCTTTCGACTGTGTCCCGAGCTGTTGTTAGCCGGCCCCCGGCTACCATAACCAGAATTAGAAGCGCCGAACATTGAACCGCCGACAGATGCAAACACTGCCGACTCGGTAGATTTGCCTGACCCACCGTTTGCCGTCTCGATACTTTGATGTGACGTTCGCCATGTCCAAATCACCGTCACGCATCAGTAGTGTTGTCGTCACCACACTGTACCGATTGGGTAGACCAACTAGGACGGTATACGCCAGCTCGGAGTCGTTGATTACATGGCCGACACCCAACAAGTCCGTTTGCAGCTGCCTCGCACGCGCGAAATACTTCGGAAGTGGCTCGCCATCGACCATCTTGAAGCGGCTTAATTCTTGGCGTAGAGCCACCTTGCGGGCGTTGTTGATGTTGTTACAGGGTGGTTAAGCTTCACCGTTGTTGTTGGCAGCGAACATCGAGTTCAAGGCATCCCAAGCCTTCTTCGTGTTGGCGGCACCGGTGACCATCGGCAAATGGTGATCCCTTGACGTTCTTGATAAGCAGATTGATGACTTTCCGCGATTGACGAATCTGCTCCTCGTTGCACGGTTCGGCGAGCAAAGACTGCTCAAGCCCAAGCTCCATGCACATCACGCTAAACCGGATTTGCCACGTGGAGTACTTGTGGAGGTCCAGCGGCTCATCAAGCTTATCCTTGACCATTGTCGATAAGGGATAGAAATAACAATCAGACGATAGCTGTCGGCGCTACTCGGGGCTCGTAACCTATTGGAGGATTGGCGACGGTGACGGCTGACGCTGATTGTTATTCCGGAAAGATTGCCGGCGGCGAAGATATTGAACACGATAAACTGTTACAAGAAATGTAAGATTGTAAATTGCGTTAGGCAGGACTTGAGGAGATTCCTATTGAGGAATACCGATCGTTGTGAGATAAACAAATAAGCGCAGTCACCGCCCTAAATACCGGCGCTAGCGGAAAACTCGTACATTCCGCGATCTAACTGCACGTACATTCTGCGATCTCACTGCGCCGTCCTGACGGTGCCCTAATGTCTATCACTTAGCTACCGGTTATGCATCGGTAGCCCCATAAAGTTCTGGGGTAAATCTTCCCCAATAGTTAGTCACAGACTCGGAGTCAAATCCCCTGGTCTACAACCACACGAGCTGGGAGAGGACCGTTTCCGTTTACAGACTGTAACCTAGCAGACACGGCTCAGGGTCATTGGCCGTTACACGTAGTCAGGTGGTCCGCGACCTGCCATCCACAGCCCCTTGCTTGGGTGTAAACGTATTGAGTCTGAGGTGCCGTTACCGGCACACAGCAGGGGCTCGGCCGCCAAGTCCGCGGTCCAGGCCGGATGCTCAACGCTCAGCAGACACAATCGTAGCTTCAGCCTGTTGGCTTTGCGGTCTGGTGCTGCAGCCCGAACACACACGGAAAACAGCGACGTACAGCACCGTACGCACTGCCTACGGCGCCCCTTCAGGCATTGACTTGCCCATTCGGGCGCCTGCTCACGGGCCCTTGGCGCCCCCCTCAAAGCCTAGCTCGACACATTTCCCCAAAGCCCGCAGCACTTTCCGGTGCTGTCTGTGATGTTTATCCCCGAAGCGCTTCAGCAATCCACCCCACAGCCGGCGGCACACTGCAACTCTTCGGAGGCCCCGAGCATTGGCCAAATTAATTGTACAAACGAGCAGTTTGCGTACTTCATGGAGAAATGAAAGCAAATTTGTCGGCCTGCTGGTGGCAAGTCGGAATGCCCGTGCGGGCGAATGGTAACACAAGCTGGGTGTTCGAGTTATCATACGCCGTCATCTCAGAATTTAAATATGAGATATGCGGCACCTTTTAAGATTAAATTTAGCCCGATAGGCGTTGATGTGACTTTGACCTCGGTCAATGGAGGCAGCCAAACATGTTTGTGCTCATACGATTTTTCTTGGCTACAGGCGAAATTCCTTGCAATAGCGAATGCAAAATATTACCAATAAAGCGTTTCATCCGGGAGAGATATTATGTTTGGTCCGTTACACACGGCCACACGGCCACACGGACATGGGCAATCCTACAGGGCGGGGCCCCCCTGGGCGCTTCGCGCTGGGGCCCCGCCCAAATATTTGTTGGAGCAAGGGATGGATGGCAACGGGTAGTAGGGAATGGAGATGTGGTGGGATGGGGCTAACGGGCGCGGGTGAATGGGAGGGATATAGGGATATAGGGACCTGGGCGGGTCACGATCTCACTGCTCGCAGGAGTGCTGGGTGGGTGAGGGTGCCAAGCTCGTTAGCGTCCTCGTTGTCTAGCTGGTTGATGATGACTTCGAACGAAGTAGCTACGGATGGGTACATGCATGTAAATCGAGGTCAAGAAGAAGAGGTCAGGTGTGGTCCCACAACAGTGAATCGATGTCAATGTCGGGTACTTGCTCCAAATGCTCAGCCTCAGGTCACCGAGGATGGTATTTCAGAGGACGGCGAGGCCAATCGATTGCTGCTGGGACAGCAGGGATAGTTGATGAGTATTGGAATGCCTGTCCTGGGCTGTGCTTGGCTGTATTTGGCTGCCCGTGGAAATGCACCTACGGTATGTATGTTGGCTACTAGGGTAGTATAGCTTCACCAGGGGCCCCCTTTCCCGAGGCAGTTCCCTGCTCTCCCCTGCGAGAGGGCACCCTAATCCGTTCACCCCATCCGACTTCAGAATGTATTCGTTGGGTTCAACAACTCACCACCAGCATCCAACCGAATCTAGCGGATCAACGGCGCCTCAACTTAGTTCCTGGTCAGCTCGCAAGTTGATATTATCACGTCCTACACCATCCATAAGATGGGGGGCCACCTCCCATTTCAAGAAGTCAGGCCTTAACCTCTGCCAGCCGCCTGCCATTGTATGCCTGCAGGTATGTCCACTCACTGCCTCCAATATCATCTCAGAGTTCGTCATCTGACACCGAGGGTTGGCGCGAAGTTCCTGCCTTCTGGTTTCACTTGATTGGTGAGGCTGGGCCAGAACATCCTCCGCAGGATTAGGTCCAGCTGTTGCCTCCATATTATGGCGTCTGCTGGAAGTCACTGGACTTCTCCCGCCTGTGTCTGCATCTTAACAGATGGAGACTGTGACCAGTCACATTTAGGGCATCCTGGTAGATTGCCGTACCGCTGCTGGTTCAAGAGCTTGCTGCTGACATCCTAAGCCCTTCCGCTGGCTCACCATCACAACCATTTTTGTTTGTATGCACATCAATTCTCTTCAATCGGTCGTTATTACTACGGATATGCATGGGGTGGGAAAGGCGAACCACGAACGAGTGAAGGTGCTGCCAGGGCAAGAGTGTACCAGACGTAGAACTGACCAAAAGACGTTCTTGAAGTGCGGCGACCTCGGGAACCGAGGGAAGGGCAGGGGCAGGAGCCAACAGGGACAGCCCAGGTGAGCCTCAGCCAGGAAGCTCCCACTGGGCCATTCTCCCAGCTGAGGCTCAATGTCTGGAAGACCAAATGCTCCGCTAAAGCACCCCGATACCACACGCAGCATGGCAACAGTCAGCATTGGCCTAGGCTGCCGAGCCTGGGCGAGATCTTTCAGGAGCATGGCCATGGGCAGCCAACCTCGGAACCATCGGCCTGGATGATCCACTCAACACTATCGGAGCTTATTGTTGCGTTCATTAGGTTCTTAAACTGCGTTACCCGCCTTGCTTCCCTTTACCAGACGAGGCACTCCACTGCTATCATATTTTCCTCAGAGCTCTTGTCGCAATTCACCAATATATTTTAGGCGAAGCTAGGTATTCAAACCAGAACCACTAGTCTCTAGATAGTCGACTTCTTCCTAGAGCCAGCCACACCCCGCTCTGCAACATGTCAAACCCTAAAACCCTAACCTAAAAAGCAGGGAAACCGCAGCCCCGGGCAACAACAGTCAGTCAGTCGGGCAACAACAGTCCGGTTTCAACCCTCTCTCTTTCATCCCTACCCTGCATCCGGCGTTGCCCGCCCTGAAAGCCCGATGGTGGTCGGCAGAGCCCTCTGGGAACTGTTGGTAGGTCATACAGCATTCCAAGATGACAGATGTCCCCTTTGGGGTACTGGCCCATCCCCAAAGGTGCACAACGACACCAGCCTTGCACCAACATTATCGGACACAAAGCTGCGATGAAGAAGTTAGAGAAGTAAAAATACAACATCACTTTGCTTAAGATACACTGACGCAACAGCTTTCTTACGCTGTAGCCATCCACTCCCCTTGCCACATCCCCACACGCCACGGTCCCGTGGCTCCTCACAGCACAACAACCCCAATCTACATCCCACAAGCTCATCGACACCTCCACTTAAGGTTATCGCAGGCTGTCGCCCCTTTGAAGGATATCCTCGCAGCTATCCCTCAAGGAAACTTCTGTCTGAGTCGTCTGCAGTACTCTTTCTTCTTCTAGTACTATTATTTGTTGCAAAGAAGAAGAAGTTTTCATCTTCCCTCGTCCTCCGATAACAGAACACTATAACCGCCATCAAATCGAAACTGCAGTGCGGCCGACCAACTACCCTAAAAGGCGCAAAGCCCCCGGATTGGAGCGCTGCTGTGTCCTCCACACCCTTCCCTCTTCTCCTGTTCCCTGCCAGCAGTGGCACCCCTCTCAGCAACACTCCCATCAGGAGATGCTACAAAAGCACAGATAAGCTGCTACTGCCAACCGGCAAGCCAACGCCGCCTCCCCCGCGGCGGCTCCCCAACCTGCACTGGTGTCCCACCAGCCTGGCGGCTGCCGCTGCGTCCTGAGTCGCCACTGGCGCCGGCAGCTCCTCTCCGCGGGTAAGGGGCAGCTCCCCCCGGCGGCTGTGCAGATGACGGGTGATGGGCGTGGGGCCGTCGGCGGCGGCGGCTGGTCACCTCACCCTCACTGCCCTCCTCACCATTGGAGCTATCAGCCCAGGCCACAGCACCCGCGCAGGCGCCATCTGTAGTGTAAGGGGAGGGTGTACAGGAAGAAAAAGCCGATTCAGGCAAAACCCAACTGGAAACGGCCCGAGAGTGTAGGAGCCCTGGCCACCACCAGGTATATTGCCACGACCTACCTACGACTACAACCGACCTACGACCGGCCTCTACTTGGGACCTTGAAAGCAGTAAGTGGCCTTGGAAGCATCAAGGGCTTTATAGCCCATGGAAGAAATAAAAGACGCACACAGAGAGACTGGTAAGCTTTCTCTCGGCCCCCTCACCACCACCGCCACCATCACCACCACCACAAGGGGCCACCTGGGAATTTCACTGCCAGCTACGCACGAGGACATCCTGTCAGGACCCCACTGATGTGAACCCAGATGTGTCCCTCGTCCTTAGCGACGCCAGCCAAAACACACCACCACTCACCCGCCGTGAAAGTCGACCGCAGTGACGCCGAGATCGTACGACCAAGCTGCCGTGCAACCGCCGCAGCCTGGGGAACCAGTACGTCCCCGCTGTACGACGGTACCTCAGCCGACAGCGGCGGCCCCCACAACGCACCATCACGCCGTCGTCGCACGGGGGCGCCTGCACGTGATGGCCCAGCTCCGCCAGCAAGCCCACCCCGCCAGGTCCTGTCTCCGCCACCAGGCCGGCGACGCTGTTGGCCACCTTGCTGGCCTCCCCCGTGACGATGATGATGATGCTCCTCACGGCCGCCCACATCGCCGCCGGCAGCTCCCGCGACGGGCCGCTGGCGGCGGCTAGTGGTCCTAGGTCCGAGGGGATGTGAGCACGGCGGGGCTGCTGCGGCCTGGCTGGGTCTGGGAGCATGGGCCCCTGCTTGTGTAACCGCCCCCGCAACCACCACATCCGCCGGGGCGTGAAGCATCGTGTACGTAACCAGCCATCGTGAAGAAGGCATGATTGCAGGCAGGCGGAAAGCGATAGGTGAATGCGTGTAGGTGGGCAGGAGAGCAGGCAGGGTGCAGATACGGACTCAGGAAGAATATTGGGGTTTACGTATGTAACGTGGAAAAACAACTAACGGCCAACGAATTCTGGTAGGAGTAGCGACAACCTGCTCCAGGTGACCCGCCCCTCATCTGCAGACTCCACTAGCACCTGGTTCCGCGCACCGCAGCTGCAGCCGCAGCCGCCGCAGCCGCAGCCGCAGCCGCAGCCGCCGCAGCCGCAGCAGCAGCAGCAGCCGCCGCCGCCGCAGCCGCCGCAGCAGCAGCAGCCGCCGCAGCAGCAGCAGCCGCCGCAGCAGCAGCAGCCGCAGCCACCGCAGCCGCCGCAGCCGCCGCAGCCGCCGCCGCCGCCGCAGCAGCAGCCGCAGCCGCAGCAGCAGCAGCAGCAGCCGCTGCCGCTGCCGCCGCAGCCGCAGCCGCAGCCGCCGCCGCCGCAGCAGCAGCAGCCGCCGCAGCCGCCGCCGCAGCCGCCGCCGCAGCAGCAGGCGTCTCCATACAAACACACAGGGCACCAGCAGCGCCGTCTGGCTACACAACCCCCTCCCTCAGCACCGCCTCGTAACGCAAACCCCCCGGACACATAACGCTAACGCCCCGGACACGAGTCCCAACCCCCCACACGACCCACCTGCTCCAACAGCTGCACACATGTCCCCAGCAGCTCCACAACAGCCTCCTCGCCACCCAGCTGCGTCCGAGTCCCTGTCCTCGCCGTTCGCCCCGCGTTGCAGACCCCCTTCTCGCTCCCGCGCATCCTCCTCTCCACCGTAATTAGCCCCATCCCCACCATCACCCCCATCGTTCCCGTTATCCGCTTCATCTACGTCATCGCCCTCCTCCGCCTCCACCACTTCATCATCCCCGTCGTCGTACAAATCGTCGTACAAATCGTGTGCAGCGGCCGCCACGTCATCCCCCAGATCCAAATACTCCAAGGACGAGTCCTCTGCGGGGGTCAGGGCCGACCGGCGGCGGCGGCCTTGGCGGCGGCCGCGACTTGGGCCCGCCGCCGCCGCCGCCGCTGCCGCTGGCCAAGGCGATTCACCAAAGCCCTCCCGCGGCGAAGAAGGCGGCCTGGCGGACCTCCGGCGGGCTTGTGTACGGCCACCGAGCCATAATGTGATGCTACAGCAGGAGAACGTCAGCAGCAAACGATGCAACAGAATAGCCATGTTGAGAATAACACGCAAGTCCGCAAGAGCGATATCGACTGCGGGCCATGCAGCCATGGGGATATGGGAGGCGGTGGTGGCGATGCATATGATGGCACAGTCAACGCCTCTGATGGGGCGTATGTACATGGCGGCAGCACAGGCTCAGCGCGAAGAGCTATAGATGTGATGTCGGTGGTTGCCCACCGAGGTGCAGTGGCGGCCTGCTGCTGCTGCTGCTGCTGTGGGTGTGTGTGTGATGAGGTGCGGCGGACGTACCCCGGCCGAGTCACCCACACCATCCGCGGCAGGGCCGCCGCGGATACAACCGTAAAATCCAACTGAATCGCTCCAGCGGGCCAGCAGCCGACTAAACGGGCCCAGGGCAGTCCCCCACGTCCGCTCGGTCTCCCTCCAAAAACCTAGAAGCCTCAATCCCCTTATTTCCAGCGGCCCTGAAACGCCACTCCACCGGTAGGACCGTACAAGGACCGTACAAGGACCGTACAAGGACCGTACACCCGTACCTAATTAGTAGTGTCAGCAGCAGAGGCTCCAGCGCAACCACCAACCGCAAGTACAGCCGGTCCCACATTCGTACAATCCACCAATCCGACTCCCACTGCCGCCGCTGACCGCCGCCGCCGTCAGACCGACCGCCGCCGCCGCCGCCGCCAGGCTCTCCCACGAGAATGGGTTTTCGGCAATTCGGGCAGGTGAACGATTCTGAGCCACTTTGTTGTAACCAGGCCCTCAAGCAGGACAAATGGAACACGTGCCCGCACGGCAGCTGCTTCGCCACGTGTACGATCTCATCCATGCAGATAGTGCAGTCGATGGTGGCGCCGCCTCCGGCTGCCACCAGAGCGGAGGGGTGTACGTCGCGGAAAGTGGTGTTGAGGCGCTGCGTCGCTGCGCGATACGACAGGTGGCTTCGGAGCCGCCGCAGCAGCGATAGCAGTACGGTACGCATGTCCAAGAATAGCATGGCGTCAATAAACTGCGGGTTTGGGGGGGAAAGACGAACGGGTTTAGGGGGGTTGCCAGGGGAAACTTAGCGGCCAACCGTAGCGGATCCAGAGAATGGGAGCCTATGCCACAGCAGACGTCAAGTTCATTACACCAAGCGACTACAGCACGTCGGCCGAACCCCCACTCATCTTCAACCCAACAAAACCCCACCCCTGTCCACCCCACCCCCACCCCCATCCCGGGTCGCAGTGTCGTTTCCCGCCACCACTGTCGCCCCCAACCCCCCCCTGCCTCCCCCCCGCCCCCGCAACTCCGTGTCCCGTATCCTGTTCCCGCACGCGCTCCCACTGCTTCCAGCACCCCGCTTCCAGCTCCCCCCTGCTTCCCCCCTTCTCCCCGCACCCACATGGAAGCTGAGGCCGTGCATCACCCAGACGTGCAGGTAGTGCGCCAGGGTCACCGCATGTACCAACACATCCGCCACCAGCTCGGCGTGATAAAGGAAATTGCCCTTGCCAGGCCAACCCAAGTCCCAGCCACCCCCGCCGCCTGCTGTGTTCATTACAGCGGCGGCGGCGGCAGCAGTCGGCAAGTCCTCGTCGTTGTCGCCGACGGCGGCGGGAGGGGCTGCCCCAGCCCCAGCCACTGCCGCAGCGGCGGCGGCGGCGTTAAATCCTGACATGCTCTGGTACCGGTCCACCATATTGACGACTGTGGAAGCGGCGAAGGCCGAGGTCGAGGCGAGGGAGATGGCACGGCATAGCGGGGGGTAGAGAGAGGGAATTATTATCCACAGAAACCGTGTGTGCGGGGGGAGGAGGAGCGTAGAGTCCCCCGCTACTGCCACCAGGCTCGCACAGGAAGGCGCCCAGCCCTCCGCAAAGTCGATGGAAGCCGGCAAACGGGAGAACACAGATGGCCAGTTTACACCTTTCTCTACCTACCTACCTACCTACCTACCTACCCGGCAGCAGCTAGCCAGTGTTCGACACAGTGTAAAGCAAGACGACAGAGAGTTCGGCCCAAGTCCTCTTCCTCTCCGGAAAACATTCGCCAACCCAAGACCTCTCCAGCCTAATCGTAGCTTCCTCAATCAAGCAGCCCTCCCCCCAAAGTGAAAGTCCGGCGAAGTAGTTTTCGGCCAGGCATTGAGATAAGGACGGATGCATATTCAGAGATTTACGTTGCCAACATTCAACTAGCGCCAAACTCGCTCTCCCTGCGGAGCTATAGATGCCCAAATACATACAGGCAAACAACCAGTAATCCGACGACGACGACGACGACGACGAGGAGAATCCTTCTTGACTGCAGAAAAAAAGGCTACCTTGCTACCACTGCTTATGTTTACCTGCTTGGTGCGTTTTAAATATCGCTGGGATCTCCGCGTCTCTCCCCCCCCCACACACACACACGAAAACACACCACACACCGTATCTGAGCAACGTCTTGAGCCCCTCGATGGTGACAACCGCCGAGTCGAAGGCGCACAGCAGCAGGCGAGCCAAGGACTGACCGGCCAACAACTTCATCACCTGCAGAGTAACGAGTGCGGAAGGGGAAGCAATCAGCGAGTAGCAGGCGGTGTGGGCTGGGAGAAGCAGCGCCCTCACGACACCATCCGCGCTCGCTACGGGATGCGGTTGCGGGTGGTAAGTGGAATCCCCCCCGGGGGCGCTGCGGATGACAACCAGGGTCTCCTCCCCCTCTGGGAGGCCCTCTCTCTTTCCGAGGCACCCTGTCCTCTTTCCGAGGCATCACACGGCGACCCGTCGCTCCGAAACCAGTCCTCAGGGATCCCCTACTTGGCCGCACATTCTCATAATAATACAACTAAGTACCTCTCTACGCAGTTATCTTCCCACATGCACCCCGCCCCTCAAGCGCCCGCGGGGCCAAGCCGCGGCGAGCAGCTTGAAAGCGGCCAGCATGCTCCCAGCCTCGTCATGTCGCGTTCGTACACTCGAAGAAAGCGGCCAGCGCAGCGGCAGCAAGATCCCCGGGTCGATACCAACCTACTTGCTACCCGCTACCGCTCAAGGGGACGCAAGACTGCTATTCAAGGTGCGCCCCTGCCCGGCTGCATTTCCCCCTCACAGCCCCCGGGGATAACGCCCCGCGTGGGGGACACTACCCCCTCTACCCCGTCTACCTGCCCCGAGGGGGAAACCTCTGTCCCTCGCCCTAACAACGCCCACACCCCACCATCACTTCCACCGCGGGCAGCCCCCCACGATGCGAGAACACCCTTTCACAATATTCGTGCTGGCATCCCCCCACCCCAAACGACAGCTCAAATGCCCATCCGGCTCCGTGAAGCAAGTGAGCCCACTCACCCACTCCGCGTCCCCTCACCCCATAGTACCCTGTAAAAGACGACCCCTCTTGGTCTCTTCCGTATGTAAGTTAACACCCGACAAAAGCTCACCATTGCAAACGCCAATCCGTTGCACAGCAGCACTAGCAGCAGCAGACACACTCCGCGGGCGTGGCGGCCCAGTTGTGCACCTGTTCAAGATACCGGGCGGAGGATGGGAGTCAGAAGCAACAACAACGGGACAACTGCCGACCTCCAATAGGACGGTCGATGGTGAAGGGAGTGGGGGGCCGCTGGGCAGCTGGTTTCCGGCGGGCCGGCGGGACCGGAGGGGCAGCATCTGCGCTTTTGGAGTCAGGATGCCAGTAAATAGAGAGGGAGTAGGTAGGTACCCATGTGTATGCGCCCCGTGCGCCGCACTGCCCCAACCCACCCCAAAACGCATGTGTTTGTGCTCTACGCAACCGAGGCGCGTGAGGACAGACGTCTCACTCCTTTGAAATGCACGCGCGCACGTCAAGGGCCTAAGGCCCACCCTATCTTTTCCCCTCTTGCCTCACTCCCTCCCTTGCTCCCGAAATCTGCCGTGGGTCGGTTCACATGGGTCCCTTCTCCTCCGGGGGCCTTCCTCAAACCATCTTCCGCCTTTCCCCCAAAAAAAACTCCCCCGCTCAACAAAATTATAGTCTAGTCTAGTCTGGTCTGGTTTCACCTGTCTGCAATGAGCAGATGATGGTCCTGGGTTCGATCCATACTGTGGCATGTGACCGTCGTTCCGGAGCATTAGGTTTACGGATTGCTGCTGAGGTGTGGAGATGAGGTCTAGTTGATGGACTGAGTTTCGCATGCTGAGATGGTGGTGATGGTGGCTGACCTGTCTCTACGGATGTCGGGTGACTGGATGAGGCGGGGTCTAGTTGGCAGGACCCAAACCGCCGTCGGTTGTACGGTGGAATCAACTTTCAATACATATAGTCCACGGCCTCCCGGCTTTGATGGACCCCCAACCCCCGCACTCGTGCGGCACTTGTAACTTGTATAGTGTACTACTTCCGCCGCCATGTCGGCGTAGACCTTCCAATCACTTCACGAACACTTTCCAATATCATTTCCTCTCTGCCGCCTTTAGTTTAAAACCTAAACACTACGGTTTCCTTTGCTTTTTTGGTTTATTATGACTTTCGGGAGCTTTAGGAAGTTTCCTGCTTTTCCGGCTGCCTTCTTTGGACTATGGGCTTGGCAACAGTAACTCGTTTCGCTAGTTAACGTCGCCGCCAATACTGCTATTCAAGTCATCACTGGCAAGTAATTATTCCTGATGCTGTATTTGCCTTCTCCTGGACTCTATCCGTCAATCTCTGGTATCTGTTTCAATCGTCAGAAGTTCGTCTTCAAACCCCCCAAACACACACGCACACACACACACACACACTGGCAGCGCAGTTCATTTAAATGCACACGCACACTGTAAAACCCTAGTACTCTCCCCAGATGCCCCCCCCATCATCGCCGGAGTTCCCCTGCTCCATAACCTTCGTACCTGCTGTACCCTAGGCAGTTGCAATACATGGCATTACCCCCCCACAGGCAGACCCGCCCACCAGCACCCAGTCCCGGGTCCCGCGACTCCTCCACCCGGCAGGAGGCGCCCGGCACCCCGGGAGCGGGCCACCCGTGTCCATCAGTACCCTAACGATCCCCCAAGAGATGGTACGACCCGGTGCTGCACACTTCACAGCTAACGCAGCGACATTCACCGCTTCACCAGTACTCAGTGATATTCAGGCGGCCTAGTTGCCTGTTCAGGCACCCACTGAGTACACTATAGCCTGTTCAGGCACCCACCGGGAGAGGACATGAGGGACTCCAGTCGGTCCTTGGCCGCGCCCAGGAACACGCGCAGATACCCAACAACTGCAAACCTGGTGGAGTGGGGATGGTGTGGACGTGGAAGGGAGGAGGAGGGTAAAGGTGGGTTTTTCAGAGGGGTACAAGGACATGGGGGATAAGAGGGATTAGGACGGCCTAAGAGCGACAGTACCCAGACAGGACGTGCAGGCGCATATACGTAGAGTGGTTTGGTATCCTTGCAGTGAAGTGAAGTGATGTTGTTAGTGGTCGTGATGGGTTCTAGGTCTGGTGTGAGGGTGAGATGGATAGGTGGGCTGTGGGCTGTGAGAGAAACTGTCCCGGATCCAGGGGGCAAAAGGTGCGACCCTGGAAACGGCAGCCAGCGGTGGTCACCCCTCCTTCCCCGTTCCTAGATCCCTAAAGTAAGAGAAGAGACCGAAGCGGCAGCACAGCAAGAAGGATGAGCGGACTGTCCCTCCCGGCAGCCCGCCTCTCCGTGTTTCCAAGCAGCTCGTCTGGGACCTGCCCCTCCCCTTCCTGGCGATTGCGGCCACTGCAAGCGAGAACCCGATTGCACAGCCAAAGTGGCCACATTGCAAAAGCCGTCCATGTAAAAGGGAGTCGCTGTCTGGGTGCGCAAATGCTCACCAGGCTAGCCATACTGCAAAGTCCCGTGGGTCGGGACTGATTATGGACCCAAGGAACACCATTTTGAAGACTGCATACTTGATTAAGCGGTGTGAAAGCCGTTGAAATTCGGTTGCAGAGAGGCGGCCCAAGAACAGGGCCTGCAAAGGAAGGAGAAGGCAAAACAAGCTGGCGAGGTCGCAAAGGAAGGGCCGAAGGCAGGATTCTCCATCATGTCAGGTAATGTCAGCGGAATCTCCTTTGAAATCCCCATATTAAAACGTTGGAAAAGCCTTACCGCCACCAAGACTGCTGTCATGGCGAGCGCGCTGACGAAGAAGTTAAGAAGGACAAACAGTGCAAGCTCGCTTGGTATGGTATTCCATAAAGTTGAAGCATCTTGGAAAGTCCAACTGTCCCCAGGGAGCAAGCGGACCAAGTTGCGCGACCGAGGAATGGTCAGACAGGGATATGCATAGGATTTCGGCAAGCCTATAACCATTTAACTACTAAGCGACTCTCATCAGACGATTGACTGGGTTGCGAATACACACCTTTCTCGCGGCGGTCGTGCCCGATGCACTATCCAAGCTACTGATGCTGTTGAACTCCCAAAATAAGCTGCAATTACAAGAGCCACATGGTTCTGTTGCTGTTGCTGTTGCTGCTGCTGTTGCTGGAGCTGCTGCGACATCAGGTGTGCCAGCGTTTCGTATGCGACGTAAACTCTTTCAAAACGAAAACGCCATTAGATGTGGTTTATGTGATTGAGATGGAGACATAATCTGAGGCTGCTAGATTAACACTACAACAAATAAAAAACCATCATTTCCTTATCGCAGAACGATTACACGCCAAAAGTTAGGCAGCGTCACGAGCTATTATAGCCATAAACTCCGTAAATCAAAAACTATCTTCCAAAGAGGCTGACAACCCTGGTATTGAGCCGTACCCAACGGTTGCCGTACTTCCTGCCCTCGCGGACCAGAGGTCAGCAAATCGGTTTCTCCAGCTGCGGGGGGGGGCATAATTTCGGTCAGTACACCTAAAACAAATCCAAAGTCAAACACAGAGTTCAAGTCCTACGGGCCGCAATAGAGGCTGCAAATTACGTCTTTTGGTCAAATTTTGGTCATTAGGGACCGCAGCCGGGGCCTTAAGCCGAAGTTTGGCTGCGGGTACTGTGGTACGGACCCGCAGGACCCGCCTTATTTGCCGACCTCTGTCGCGAACCCGACGAATCCTTGAATCCAAAGAACAACACGACATTCCGATGGGCTTCAAGCCGCTCCAGCTCCAAAACACACTTTTCGGTTGTACTATCTGGGTATTCCTCCTCGGAGCAGGGGATTGCTCCGACAGATGGAAATATAGCTCTACACGTGCGGCAGTATCCCGACTCTTCTTCATGAACCCAAAGTCTCTGCCAACACCCCTTATGATGATCCCAGCGCGTCCCACACATAGGCAGGTTTACCAGGCGGTTGTCACGAGACCCTTACCATGCCGTACAAAGCAATAACTCACTCCTTCCCCTACTCCTTTTTCCTCTCTCCCATGGAACATCTTGGTTCACTTGCCTGCCTGGCACTCACTCCCATACGGCCATTACTCGACCATAATCACTCAGATGGCTGAGTGGCAATCCCACGAACACGTCGGTTGTCCCCATTGCCTCGTGTGGGCCGTTTGGGCATACACGCATACCCTGCATACACACACACACACATTGCTCCCCACAGTCCTCCTCTCTCGACATCCAGAACGCATGCAATGCAATGCAATGCGGTTATCCATCGCGCACATCCGGTCTGTGTCCTAGCTACCTCCTCGAGCCACTGCAACGGTAACTGCAACCGCCACAACCACTCCGCGCATCAAGCTGTAACGGCCGCAGAGCCCAGCAAGATCCGTTACTTCGATTAGCAACAAAAAAAATAAAAAGTGGTACCGGGGGTCATCCTTGGGGCTTTTTGATTCATCGTCTTATGATTTTCGTTTGCCGTTGTTCGTTTAGGAGGTTTCGGAGGGAGGAGATGCGACCAGTGGTGAAATTTGTGCCAGCGTTGCATGCATGAGGACGGCTGCACCGTCAGGGTACCGCCGTACCGCACCACAAAGGGCAATTTCCTCCGTACCATGTCGCAGCTGCTTTATAACAGCACAGGTAACGGAAGTGCAGCGGCACATCCCGATTCTGATTCCTGAGCACCAGCACCAGCACCACACGCCATCCCCCCATGTCCGGGTGTGAGGCCTGACTCTGTGCGTTGTGATGATGACCTGCGTCACTACCACCGCGCCAACTGCCGTCCAGTACTCCTCGTAGACAAACTGGCAGGAAAACCAATAAAACCGAAACAGGGCCCACTTTAGCTGTCCATACGTTGGCTTTCAATCCTTTCACGTGCACATGCACGTATACACATGTACGGCCATACCTTCGTCCGTCCATCTGTGTGTCTTTCTGTATGTATGACTTGGATTACACTGTGGGGCGCGTGAGCCGGGGGCAGAAGCCGAAACACAGCACAAGGGTCGGGGGCACGCAGCACAAGTCGGTTAGCCCTGTGTGTTCCTGACCCCGACTCAGGCCGTCAAAACGCGGCGTAGCAACTCAATAGCGCTGCAATAAAGACACGGCGGGCTGTCAGATCCCGCCTGAGCTCCTACCTCCACACAAACCCAGCTAGGGCAAAGGCTCTCAGAAGTTCCTGCCCTCCCCCACCTAAAGCGAGACGAAAGGAAACGAGCGGGGCGTCTTTCTCGTCGTGAATGGGATTTACCTGGACCTTGGAGTTATATATATAGCAGCAAACATAGAAAGATACGAATACTGCTGGTTCTTGCCCTCAGCTGTTACATTGTCTCACAAATGAGAAGCCATCATCGTACGTATATCTCACACATCGGATTTGAGTTGATGTTGTTTTGTTACGTTTCCGCACACGGGTGTGTGAATTAATCTGTTCGGGTGGAAATACCGCATTTGGTATCATGTATTTATGTATATATAGGCTCACCCTGCCCGCTATTGCCCACCCCAGAACCACGCCCGCGAGAGCGAGTGCAGCGATAAGTCCAGTTACGGCACACCGACGGAAGGCCTAAAACCCCATGACAACTGACAGCTGAATTGATACCTTTTTGCTTATTCGTGCGTACATGGAAGCTTCTGAACAATTTGAGGCATAGTTCGGCGTCGATGGGCTGACGGGGTAAGGCAACGTCAGCCGTTAGGTAGGGTAGGGCCTGCAAGGATATGGAGGGGGAAGTATGCCTAGATAGGAGGTAGATGGCCCCAACAGCGTTCCAGCTGTTTCAAAGATGCAATTTGACGGCAAGCCTGTTGATCTCGGGATGGGTGACCTGAATCAGCCGTCGAGATAGCTTGTGATCTGCGAAGCGAGCGCCGCGGGGGCCGATTTGCGCAGCGTTTGCGCCGCCATGGTCGAGGGGAGGCATCCAGTGAGTTGATTCCAGTGAGCTCGTCATACCTTTACCTACATACATGCATACTAATGTACATTTAAACTAAATTGAGTCTTTTCCAGGAGCCCGACTGAGCCCGCCTTCGTTATGCTTGCGCTTCGCCGATTCCCTTATCTTGCCATAAGGAATGTAGGGCAGGGATTATGACTGGGGGAGTATGCCCGCGAATAGCGAAAGATGTTAATGGCAATCCAACATATCGTGGCAGTGTACCGCAAAAATGAGTAAGGACGTACCTAAAAACCTTACGTGTTAATACGTAGTTCGTGAGAGGTGAAAACAGCAATTCGAAACCACAACCTAGCGTGGCTAAGTTGTACTCAACGCACCAACGTGGACCAGGACTCGTTGCCGACTGTCAAGTTCGCCGGTGTCTCCGGGAGTCCTATAGATATCATCCTGCCAGCGGTGCTAACTATTAATACTTAAAGCTTGTTATATAGTAATGGGAATGGAGGTGTTCCTTGCGACTGTTCTATTCGTGCTGGCGATGCCGTCGGCAATGTCAGCACCTAGTGCAGCAGCGGCACCTACCCCATCCAACATCTACGACTTGATCATCATTGGCTCTGGTATGTCCGGCCTTGGTGCAGCTAAGCGCGCGAAGGAACTGGGCGTAAACAAGATTCTCATCCTTGAGGCACGCGACCGCATCGGTGGCCGAACTTTCACCCAGCCGCTCAGCATTACTCTGCCACCAAACTCTCCGACACCAGCTGTTATCGATTTGGGAGCGGCGTGGATTCATGGCTCCAGCGGTGCTGCCCGCGGCCTCAATCCCATGGTAGGACTGCCGGGACGCCTTCCATGACGTTTTCTGTCTGTGCTCACATTCACCAACACAAACACCATTATTAGTTCTTCAATGTATGAAATGCACCGATGCATCACCGTCCGCTTCCGGAGGGAAGTCGAAAGTCGAACGGCTCAGTGTGCCCACGTCTTCAGTTCGTAGATGCGCCGGTCGGTCACACTTCCACTTCCACTTCCACTTCCACTTCCAGGGCGCTCACTGCCAAATTCCACAGGCGGTCACGAGGGCGGTGGCCCTACACACATGCGTGCGGCCACATGAAGTCGAAGGGGGCAGACGGGGCCGCCGCTTACACACAACTCTTAGAGCTTCTTCCTCATTTCTTCGCCAATATTCCCACAGGTCGTGCACGTGCGCACGGCTGCCTTACAAACTTTCGGACATCCAAGTGCGAATGTGACTCTTGTTGCGTTGTTGAAAACGGACACGCGAATATTATATTACACACATGCATGCTTCTGTTCTTGCTGTACACGATTCACCCGCATCTGGTGATTTCCTGTTGCCACCCTTTGCTCTCATTTCGCCCTCGCCTTCCTCGTGCAGGCCAAGTTAGCTAATGACGCGGGCACTGGCTATTTCACCACCACCGAGAATGGACTGAGCTTCGATCCTCAGGTGGTTCAAGGGAGGGAGGGTCCAGGGAGGGAGGGAGGGGGGGATGGAGGAAGGGCGGGACTCAAAGCAAGGTGCGGGAAGTAATGTTGAGTTTAGGGGGAAAGGCGGGGAGATGTGTGTATGTGTGTGGTGCGGGACGGCGGTCGGGAGGTGGATTACCAGCTGGGCCCATGCAGCAGGACAATGCAATGTGCACCGTACATTGCCGCTCATTCACTCGACGGTGCGAGTAACGAAAATACTATCCGGTGTGGATGTAAGGGCTGGCGCAAACCCACACACCCCTTTTGGTCCCTACCGCGCCTGGTTGGTCATGGCATGCAAGCCAACGCAACCCGCAACCACCGTTGAGGCGCGCCTGGCTACGGTTGTCTTTTCCAATACTACCCCTTAAGACGGCCTTGTTAATTTGCTTGGCTCCGGAACCGCTCGGCGTCCTAACCTAACCAGCCTTGAGGGGAGGACACCGAAATTATGTAATACAAGTTACAAGTTACAAGTTCGGCACACATGTAACTTGTAACTTGTACAAGTGCGGGTGTGTCCATAAAAGCCGGGGGGCCATGGCCACGTATAAGCTCCTACCGAATTGGAACCCCCCCCTTAGGGTTAACCACCTGACCTGATATAGAGGTTGTTAACCCTAACCAACTAACTGAATAGGGCTACTGAACCCTACGCCTTGCGATGGCCCATGCAGGGCAGGGAGGATACCGCTCAGTGGGACAGCACCCTCGAGGACATGCTCAGCCGCTGGGAGGTGCGAGGAGGCCGCGAGGGGGGCGGAAGGGGGGGAGGGGGTCGAGGAGGCCGCGAGGGGGGCGGGAGGGGGGAGGGGGTCAAATACGTAGTAGTACATGCAGCATACATGCGTTCGTAATGCTTCTAAGCTGAAATGTAACCGAGCGAGGAGCCTGTTGTCGCACTGGGTGTGAATTGCTGTAAGCTTCTTAACCGTTAGTGTAACACCAAGACAGATAGACAGACAGACAGACAGACAGACAGAGACAGGCAAACCACTGATATTGAGCTGATGAATCACCTAATTGACCCTCCTGTTGGATATGGCATGTCACCGCAGACGTACTTGAACAATTATTCCCCCACGAACACGGAAAGCCTAAACACCGTGACCAACAAGTAAGTAGTGAACACTAAGTGGTCGTCCACCCATTCATCCATTCATTCATTCATTCCCATTTGAGAAAAGTGGGTTCTTGTTGCGGACGATATTATTGTCGAATGAATGTGAGGGGGAAGAGCAGGGGGCCTCGGGGGGCGGGCGGGTGTGAACATACAACGTGGCTGCAGTGATGTGTGTGTATGTGTGGAGGTTACAAGTATCTGACCGGGCCTGACACTGGCCAGGGGCTGCTGCCCAGCCCCAACGGAAAGACCGCCTAAGCTCTCTTCCGCGGACGGGAGAGGGGCGCAAGGGGCCTCTGCCCCCTCCTGAGCGCCGGGAGCGGCAGGTCCGCTAGCTCCGCTCTCCTCCCCCGGCGGTCGCACGCGCGCACCCTACTCCCCACTCTACTTGTTATCCTCTGCCAAGTGTTGCTGCGTACACACGCTCGTGCGGATGTGCTTTGTGGATGTCACCCCCCCCCTAACACACACACTTTTGAGACCCCGCCGCCTCACTCCAGCGGGCCCCACCGGTGGCCCTCTCTTAATCACGGCACCCATGTCTTATGTTTCCTCTTTACTGCGTGCCCCGGGATCTGGACTCAACTCCCACCCCGCACCCCTGATAGGAGCGAACCCGACCTCCTTCCCAAGCCCACCCTTCCTCCAACAGACAGACAGACAGACAGACAGACAGATAGATAGACAAACCCTCCCGACCCGCCCAAACCTCCCCAACTCCCCCATCAGGTTTATTAACTCGCGGAGTTTTACTGCGCTGCAAAAGACCGCCCTCACCCAGGTGCGGTCCGGTCAGGTCAGGTCCGGTCCGGTCAGGTCCGGTCCGGTCCGGTCGCCTGAGCAGGATTCTAGGGGTGTAGGGTTTCAGGGCTTGTTGGTTTTACGGATGAGAGGTGCTGTGCTCGGCTTTATTGTTTGGAGCTGGTCTTTATAGTGCTCTAAGTATTGACGGGCGGGACATCAGCGTACCGCGGCCTCCAGGGCACTCAGCCCGTGCAGGTCTGTTGGGTGGAGAGGCTGAAGGAGGCTTAGGCCGCGTAAGAAGCAACATCACACTCCTCCATCTATCGTGCCTCGCCATGCGTCTTGACGAGAGCCCCCTCACGCGCCTTGCCTAATGCACGCATACAAACAAACGAACACACAAGCATGTTTACACATGCACGCGCATGTACTCCCACAGTCAGCAATGCCAGCTGTTCCCTTGTCACCCTTGCAATTGCCCACCAGCTGGCGCCGGCTTGGCGAACACTCCCACACAGGGGAAGTCACCATCCTAACACACACACATACGCACGTGTGCACTTACATACATACATATGTACACAACACGAAAACAGGGGCTGATGACGGAAGTGGTGATGGACTACGCCGCTGACCTGAGTGACATGTCCGCGAGGTGGTCCATGGAGGACCTGGTGTGGGGCAGTGGCCCCGACGCCCTCCCTGCCCGGGGCTACAGCGCCCTGGTTGACTACCTGGCCACCAACCAAACCATCTGGACCAACTACGCGGTGGATGTGATCGACTACAGCAACGCCAACCTCGTCAACGTCAGCGGTCGGGTCATGAACACGGCTGCCAAGTTTTGGCTGCAGGCCAAGGGCGTGATCGTCACCATGCCGCTGGGGTACCTGCAGGTGCGTGTGTGGTGGCGGTGGTGGGGGTGGTGGGGTGGGAGGAGCGGAATGGGGACGAGGTGGACGTGAAGTAAGATGGATGGGGGGATGTTGGACCCAGGAGACCCAGGAGACCCAGGAGACCCAGGAGACCCAGGAGACAGGAAAGCGGGGCGACATGTGGGGCTTATTTGTTGTTCAGCACTCGCCTACTGTAGTAGCCGTCGTTGATGCCCGGTAGCACTGGAGTACCAGATGGCCGGTAGCCTGCGTTTGTGGTTTCTATGCCGCTGTCAGGTCCGCAGGTTCTTGAGAGGCAAAATGCGACGGATGGCTCCCTGAATAGATGAGGCTGAATGTGACCATGACCTCGTCCATGCCTACTATGTTTTTACATGTATACATGTATATACTAGGGTTTGGCACTACTGGTAATGCGCGACCATTGCCCCCGGGAGATCCCGGGATCGATACCCATTAGGGTCAGAAGTCCTTCCGATGGTGGAAGGCATTGCGCCCCTAGTTGATGGACGGTGGTGACCTGGGATAAAGTTAACCTGCGAGCCGACCAGGAATGGAGTTGGGCCGCTGTCGACCCGGCAGATTCCGTTGGATGCTGGTGGTGGGTGCGGAACCTGAGCGATCCACTGAGAAGTTGACTAGGGTGACTGGATGAGGGTGCCCCGAAATACCGGGGAAGGCAGGGTTTCGCAGGGTAGCTGCCACGGGCGAAGATACACCCCCCTGTTTCACACATCATACAGAACAAGCTGGCGGCTTCACAGCCCACTTTGTTCAAGCCCGCGCTAAGTTCAACTCAGTCCGGTGCCATCAAGGCCTTGGGAATGGGCCTGCTGAACAAGGTAAGGCTGTAGCAATGTGCTGCCATTGTGTTGTTCGTATTGCGGTGGTAGCCGCAGTAGCAGCAGCAGCAATAGCGGCTGCGGCAGCCACTCATCTTTGTGGATCTTTAGCACGGTTGAGCGAAAGTACGGTGGGGCGGAGGTGGGTGGGATTACATACACTAAGATTGGGATTTGGGGATTTGGGGATTTGGGTGGTTGAGGGGTAAAAGCAAGGCCAGCCAAATTAGCGGGTACCTTTTCACTCTGTTCCTGTTCGGGAGATGTGCGGATGCCGCGTGCCCATCCTTACGGCGTCTTAGGTTGCGCCTTACTGAGTGCATGCTTGTCTTTGGTTCATCTTTGGTTCCGACGGCTGCATCGGCCGAATCCGCCCGGCTGCATCTGCCCTGCCAGCCACCTCCCCGCCCTGTGGCCAGTAACCCGCCCTGTGTTGTGCTGTTGGGCATCCCCGCCACGCGCCGCTCCATCCCCTGCCCTCCCCTGCCCTCCCATGCCCCGTGCTGCAACTCCAATTGCCGCGGGCAGCCGTGTACTTCTATGATGCCTGGTATTGCCTTAAAACCTCCGTGCACTGCGCTGTACCTCCGTGCACTGCACTATACCTTGGTGTACTGCACTATACCTTGGTGTACTGCGCTGTACCTCCGTGTACTGCGCTGTACTCATCTCTCCCACATTCGTAGGCACTCCCTACCTGGCCTCCTGACCCCTGACCCCCCCACACCCCAGGTCATCCTCGTTTGGAACGATGCCAGCTGGTGGTCCGGCCTGTTGACTGAGCCTTGGGTCACCATCCGCAACACCTCCACCCCTGGAGCCTTCTCCGAGTACTACAACCTGGCGGCAACAGCGGTGAGCACCGAGGTTACCTAACAGGGGCAGGAAGCGGTCCTGCTGCCTACCTGCAAGAGGTCGTATCTAGCTGGAGAGATAAGCTACCTATCCACAACCTATCAGGCTGCTGGTGGTCCCCGTTAGGCCACCTATGAGTGTCCGTTGGAAGGAGTATGCAGGTATCCCTGTCTGTCTGTCTGTCTGTCTGATTGCCACTGTACATCACCCCTTTCAACGGCACTTCCCCTCCATGCCGTTATCGTTTGACCCCGACGGCCCCGCAGACCAAGCTCCCGGTCCTCATCTGCTTCAACGGCGCCAGCTTCGCCAGAAGTGTTGAGGGGCTCAGCGACGAGGCCATGGTAGCACGCGCCCTGGCGTCCCTGCGGCTGCTGGGCCGGACCGTGCCGCCGCCGGTGCAGACTATCGTCACCCGCTGGGCCTCAGATCCATGGACGTACGGGTCGTACTCGTACGGCAAAGTTGGCATGACCGGCACCACGCGCACACAGGCATCCGCGCCCCTGGGAACCCAGAAGCGTGTCGGGTTTGCCGGCGAACACACACACACGCAGTTTCCCGCCACCGCCCATGGCGCGTATCTGAGCGGGGTTGCGGAGGCGGGTAGGATTGCGCCAATAGTGAAGCAGTGAAGCCAGCTCGCGGCCTGGCTGGCTGGCTGGCTGGCTAGCTGCGATGCAAGTGAAGGCAGCGGGCCGAGCTAGGGCCGAGCCAGGTCAACTCCGCCCCGCCTGCGGCGTCCTTTATCTATCACGTGGATTACTTATAAAGATTCCCAATGGCGCATACACGCAACGCCGTGGTGACGAACCGCAGTGGATTTGTGTGGGTGATATGTGATCCGGAATATGAATTTGTATTTACCTTTGATAAATTGTTGCATACATGCGCAGTACATACGTCACCGTGTGTTGATAGTATCATTACGGCTCTCTGGCGCGAAAAATATATATTTATAATCTGGAGGCGTACCTCCAGTAGTAGTAGCTATTCCTGCTGAATAGTGGGCGGCATGGTGGGTGCGGTGCCGGTGTACGGCTTTACAAGGTGCGCCCTTCCATCCGTACAGCCATCCGCCGTTTCAACCGTGGCTGTATCCGCGGCTGCGCCCGGAATTCTCCCTTATCCTCCTCCTTCTAGGCAATCACTCAGTGCGAGATGGGACCTACCTGACATCTAGGACGGCGTGGATTTAAAATATTTGTTTTGCTTTCCAGCCGGACCGCGGCTTCTCGTATGGATCACATCGACCTACGAAGCACGCGCACTAGAAGAACTGTTTTCAGTGTTTGCAAATTGCTAGAATGCGACGGATAGATGGGCTGGTATTACTTCAGACTTCGTTCGTCCTGCTGTCTGTACGGCAGTGTACTGCAACGTCGGCATTTATCCAATAGGTTTGTGAACTGTGTGTGGCCCCTTGATCAGGCGCTGGGCGCGGCGGGGATATGAGGCATTTGAGGTTTGCCGCCTGCCGCAGTTTTTAGGCTGTGGACTGTCACGTCTCGCAAAATGTATATTCCTCTGCAACGGCGGCCTTTATGAGTCCAACCAAGTTTTGTCAAGGAGCCAAGCAATGTGCCTTGGTTTCAAGTGGTCTCGCTGGTTTGTTTGCTACTTCTCGAACCCGTCTAGTTGGAAGGGAAATGCCCATCTACTTGTGACATCAGCGAGGCTCGACGCCCCAATGGCAATTCCTTGCCGCCAGCTGCGGTCTCACGCGTGCTGCTCCGGTTTCGCCGTCATTCGTCAGCCCCTCTGGACAGTTGCCGTAGCCCTGCCTGCGTGCACCTGCACACTAGGAAGCACACAAACCGGGATGGACAGGTTATCTTTCAGCGACCTGGATCTTTCTGCATCAGTAGGGACATAGGTCTTTTCAGGGTTCCGTGTCCGGTGGTTTTGGTCCTAGCTAGGATTCCTTCAAAAGTGAAACCCCTTCATGTGCGTGCATCTGATGTAGGCACATCTGCGTGCTCAGCTCTCAGTCGTAATCTCGTACAGCATCGTACATACACCATCCTCCAAAGAATGGGCACTGCGGGCTTTCAAAGCCCATTAGTGATTGTTGTTATTAGCATTAATACATTTCTTCATTTTTTCTGAAATCTAATAATCGGGTTATCCAACTTATGCACAAATCTACTTCAGAATTTGCAAATTCATGTAAATGCCAAGGGACCCATCATCAAACCTACATCCACTTTACACGTTTAAACCACACAACCACCAAACACCCCCACCGAACAAACCATCAGGATCTCCATTTCGCCATACATGTGCCATCAGAATAATACTAACAAAAGTGATAGTGGGCCGGAAAAAGGAACTCTTGCCAGTTTAAATGGGGGGACTAACGAATAATAAATATAATAAATATAATATAATATAATATAATATAATATAATATAATATAATATAATATAATATAATATAATATAATAATAATATAATATAATATAATATAATATAATATAATATAATATAATATAATATAATATAATATAATAATAATATAATATAATATAATATAATATAATATAATATAATATAATATAATATAATATAATATAATATAATATAATATAATATAATATAATATAATATAATATAATATAATATAATATAATATTTGTGCCATTTTGCCAAAGGCGAGGGTTGCCCGTCATTGTTTTTTTTTGAAGCAGAGGCTGCTCCTCTCTTAGCCACCTGTATTACTTGCACGTCCGAGCGTTATTCGGCTTGTTTTGCCGCTATTGAGAGCTAGGAAAGAGCCGTCGGGATCTGATGTGGATGGCGACAGGCAATGGATCGGTATGGACGAATGGATTCTATTACGCCGCTTACGGTACTTAGACTAATACGCATGGCTAGTCGGATACCTGACGTTGGGACCTTATTTTTCACTGCAGCGGTTAGGACTGCCGGTTGTGCATGTGGTCCGCACCAAGCGCACTGACGATCCGATGCAGTTCCAACCGTTAACGTCTGTTTGGAACTTTCAAGCCGATTGGCTTCTGCCTCATATCGGCGGCGGCTTCTGTGCGTAATTATCGTCTACTTGCCTTTGTGTTAAGGAATTATAGCTTATATCCCAGCTGTTGTGTCGGTGAGCTGTCGGTGAGCTGTCGGTGCTACCAAGCCCTGAGAGGAATTCACACACGGCCAAAAACAGTACATGCATACTCACTCCTCCGTTCTGCCTGGATCTGGCCAAGCAGGCGCGGATAATATACACTACGCACTGCCGTGCGTACATATACATGTAGTTAATTTAATACATTGGGCTTTTTTTTATCCCCTTTGTTTTGCCCCTCCCCGGCGTTTCCCTTCGAGGGGTAATTACCACCTCGAAGAGGTAAAATACTGACATTGGTCCCATAACACACAGCTTCCCATTGTGCTTTGGCAGTTGTCACCTGCTCCCCTCGGATCATGGGAGGAGCTTTACCTTCCCGTCACGGTACGACACTGTACTGCCGTACATGCCCGCCAGCACCAGTAATAATGTATCCATTCACTGCACGTCTTACCAGGGAGGGAGTCGTTTTCACACGTAAAGCCAGCCCTGTTCAGAATCGATGCAAGTGCGTGCGCGAAGCCTCATCATAAAGATCAAGGACCTCCCTTCCGATTTTCCCCCGCCACCTGTATGCGCGTTTCCACTTCACGGATACCGCAGCCCTCCCCTCCCCTTCCCTCCTCCGCTGCCGGGAAGGTCCAATTCTTAAAAAACATCCATTGTCGTATGTACCGAGCAACTACCTGGATAGGCATGCAGACCGGACGACCGACCGACCGACGCAGAGACAGACAGACATGTTGACGCACAAACGGGCGGATCGACAAGCTGTAGCTGCTGCTGCTGCTGTCAGACGGGTAAACAGACATGCAGACAGAAGCGACACCGCAGTGTGCTATGGACACACCTTTCAGCCATCAACATCCCTTCGCGAGCACCGTAAGACGATGAAGAAGACGTTCATGTCGTCACACCATGAAAACTATGTATATAGCATCTCCGCAAACCCACCACAAACACGACCGCCTCATCCACCGCCGTCATCAATACCAGCACCACCACCACCACCACCAGCACCCCTCGCACCACAGCCGAGAGTCCTGTTGTCCGGCCTCACCAACATCAGTACCTTACAAGACTTCGTCAAAGCGCTCCGAGACCACAAGGCGCTCCGAGACCATCAAGGCAGCAACTCCGGCTGCATCGCCCATTCCCCTCCTCCTCCCCCTCCTCCTCCAGAACCACCGCTTCCATCTCCCCCCAGCGTTTTTGCATTACTTCTCCAACAACCCGCTAAGGCCGTCCACGTCACTTCCCACCGCCGTGTCCTTTTCCGGCCCCTAACCCCTCACACCCCTTGATCCGCTTCCCTCTCCCCTCTCCTCTCACGCAATTGGTTGGGTTCGCATGTGCCGAATATGTCGTCCCCCTCCCCCCTCCGTCACCGCTCCGGGCACGGCATGACGTGGCATGACATGACACCACATCACCTTGCTTTCCCGCCGGGTCATTTTCCCGCCGGGAATGGCCCCTCTGCGCCCGCCTAACCCCCTGCTCAGTCGCCTCCCTCGCTTTACCTAAAACCGTCCGCCCTAAAACCTTTCTGCCTCTTTCTGCCTTCTCTCTCCCTCCCTCTCACCCTCTTCCCCGTCTTCGCGTCAGTCAAGTCTTCCTCACAATCCAACCAGGGATGGGGTCCTTGCAGTCTGAGCTGTTACCCGCCAACGTCTTCGTCAGCGCCACCGGAAAGATGACGAGGCGGAAGGCCTGCAGACCAACTACCTCAATCTCAAGCGCCACACCGTTGGTACGGCAAGCCTCCTGTACAACATAACAACCCGATTACAACACGGATCGCGGCGGTGGGGGCGGTGGCGGCGGTAATATGTTCGGAGTGTGCGGACTGTGGACGTGTAATATGTTCGGAGTGTGCGGACTGGCTAGGGCTGTTGTGGAGTTGTGAGAAGCTGCAGTAGGATATTGGCAGAGGTACGGTGGGCCCAAAGAACAACTGAAGGCCCAAAGAAAAGAGCACTTAGAAGTTCGGGGGCACTATATGAACGATATACTCTGCTTTGATACTGGAGGAACTACTCTGCTCCTAACGAGGAACAAAAATCCGCGCTTTTTGATCATGTGTCGATGTATGGTGATGAAATTTATCGTGAGATTCTAAGCGCAACAGCAAGACGTAGTGCAAACAGGCCCCACCTGCACAATCTGGTTGAACACCAACACGCTCTCCGCGTACTCCGTCACCATCAGAACCTCCAGCCGTACATCCGCAACAATCGCCTGCCGTACCGCGGGCATCTCCTCGTTGGGTACGGTCCGTACCATGGACGCGTACGTGCACTTGGTAAACCCGTCAAACAGCGCATCCAACATGGCCCCCGGGTGGGCGTGTTGGCCGCTCGAGGGGGGGTGGAGAGATATGCTGCCCTCCCTGGAGAGCTGGACCTGCAGGGCAGGGAAAGGGTGATGGAGGGGTGTGAGCAAACGAAGCCCAGTTCAGCACCGAATAACACATCTAACGGTGAGAAACCTCGCCGGGTGATGAACAACAGCACATGGGGGGGAGGGTGGGTTGGAGGTAACAGAACATGGAGAGGGCCGTCATCCCGGGGGCCTGGCGGTCCGCCACAGGTAGGGCCACAGGCGCGCTGAAGGGGGCGTGAACGGGTCACCTCCCCTGCAACAAGTGGTATAGTCAAATGAAGCCGCCAAATGGTTATGAGTTTAATCCAATGAGATGGTGTGTGTATGTGTGTTGTGTATGTGTGTTGTGTATGTGTGTTGTGTATGTGTGTTGTGTATGTGTGTAACCTTCAGTTTTCGTAAAGACATGCACCAGCTATTCATAAGTAAGACAAGCAGCACCTACACACGCACCTGGAAGATGGGGTATTGGTAGCCCTCCTGCTGCGTGAACCCCAACCGCTGGGCCCACTGCATGGGCACTGCGATGATGAAGCTGTGCACCTTGGCCGGTACGGCAGCGACGGCAGTAGCGGCGGCCGTCTGCTGCTGCTGCTGTTGTTGATGCTGGTGCTGGTGCTGCGACGTCGATTGCTGCTGCTGCTGTTGCTGCTGTTGCTGCTGTTGCTGCTGTTGCTGCTGCTGCTGTAAATGATGTTGCTGTGGCACCTGTTGCGGTGGTACGGTGTAACCCTGCTGTTGTTGAGGCTGCTGCTGCTGCGGCGGCGGCGGCTGTGCCTGCGTGTCGTACACATGGCCTTGGGACACAGGAGGCTGCGCTGGGGTTCCCGCTGCCGCCGCGGCGGCGGCCGCAGAAGGATACCCTCCGAGTGCTGGAGTACCAGCGGCACCAACCCCGGCCCCAGCACCCGCTGCCGCTGGCCTAGGCTGCGGCTGCGGAGTGGCTTTGGTCAGGTTCTGTGGCATTCCCTGCCCTTGCATCTTGGCCGCAGCCATCGCCGCCGCCGCCGCTGCAGCCGCCTGTGCCTGCACAAATTGATGCAGTACCCCTGCTGACGGCGGCTGCTGCTGCGGCTGCTGCACAGGGCCGACAGGGCGCCCGCCGGCTGCCGCCGCCACTGCTGCCGCCGCCGCGGCCGCGGCCGCCCTGTACTGCGGCGATGGGTGATAATACGGCGTCGGCGACGTCGCCGCATTAGGAGCTGCTGCCGCCGCCGCCGCTGCAGCAGCGGCAGCCGCTGCCGCCGTTTGGCCAGGCGTCGACCCGGCGACGTTGTACGGCGTCCCCGCCGCCGCTGCCGGACCTTGGCCGTACTGACCCATCTGGGTCACGACGCCGACGTTGTTCGAAAGCCCAGCACTTGGAGGCAGTTGTTGTTGGGGCTGTTGCGGCTGTTGCGGCTGTTGCGGCTGCTGGGGCGGGGTCGTGTGGTGCACCTGCACGGTGCCTTCGTTCGTCCCGTGTCCCGTGTACGCTACCCCCGGCGCCCCTCCGGCCGGCATGCCGCCCTGCTGCTGCTTCTGCTGCTGCTGAGCCGCTGCCACTGTTGAAGCCTGCGGTTCCAGGCCCAAACGGCAAAAGAAAGGCACCTCAGGAGCGTCACTTCGCCGTGCGGTCGAAGTACGACAAGGTACGGCACGGCGGGTGGTAATTAAACCGTGTAATTACTATTATTCATTGCGGCAGTAGAAGTGCTGCCGCACAGTGCGCCATACCATGACATGGCAACTACGCAACGGGACGGGACGACGCGGTACGACACGGACTGAGACAACGGCAAGACGAGGCGTAGTGTGACACGATACGGCACGTTGTTTCGAAGTGTGTTTCACAGCGTGGGCGAAAGACGCATGGTACAGCATGCATCGCCTGGAACAACGTGACATGGTTGGCACGCCGCGTCAATGGGAAAAACGCCGTGGCAAAATGTGCAGTGCGTGGCGGCAAAAGGCATAGCGCGCGGTGTGGTATGGTGTGGTATGGTGCGGCACGGCGCTGCCATACAGCACACCTAACACCCAATGGCATACCGCGGCACTCCACGCCTCCCTTACCATGTTCGCAGCTGCTGCCGCCGCAGCAGCAACAGCACCGTGCTGCCTTGCCGCCGCGTGAACCGCCACCAAGCCGTTAGCAGCTCCTCCTGGTGCCGCCGCCGCCGCCGCCGCCGCCGCAGCAGCTACAGCCTCGCCCGCATTTGCAAACGGTGAAACCGCCCCTGCCTGAACCCCAGGTCCCCCAGCCTTTGCATGCGCCTGGGCTTGTGCCTGAGCTTGTGCCTGTGCCTGTGCCTGTGCCTGTGCCTGAGCTTGTGCCTGCGCCTGGGCTTGTGCCTGGGCTTGCCTTTGCAAAGCGAGCTGCTGCTGCTGCTGTGCCTGGTGGTGTCGAGCTTTGGCGCTCTCCAACTCTCTTTTGAATGCGAGGGTGGCGTAGGTCCACGCAGGCGAGATAAGGCCCGTGTAATCGCGATGGTTGGGCTGTTCGGCATGGGGGAGGAGAAGGTGGGGGGGAGGAGGGGATGGGAAAAGAGTGCGGGTGCGGGTGCAGGTGAGGGATGGGGGGAGGGGTCAAGCCAAGCCGGCATCAGTAGAACCAGCACCCGCTGCGGGTCATACGAGCGCCTGTGCACAGGAGACTAGCTGACTTCAGCATCCGCGTCATCAACACAAGAAGGGTTCAGCACAGCACAAGGGTCAGGGCACCCTCAAGCGCCTCCGCACCGCACACCAGTGTTGCACCCCACATGGACGTTTTGCCGTCTTCCCCCCCGCGGATCCCCGGATGTCGCCTCCACATCGGGTTCCCCCCAACACCAACAGCCAGCCCTCCTCCACCCACCCACCCACCCACCCACTCAGGTGCCTGTGCTTTCTCGATGCCGGCAGCTAACCCTTTCAAAAAAGCAAAGGGTTAGCTGCCTTCCTTACAACAGCAAACCCTTTCTTGCACCAGCAAACCCTTTCTTGCCCCAGCACCCCAGCAAGCCCTCCCCCACCCACCCACCTACCAACCAACCAACCAACTCACAAAGGTGAACTTAATCTGTTCCAACTGAATCATCGCTTGGTCGCGGTCACGGCCGCCACTGAGCCCCAGATGGTCCACCAGCATCGCCATCGTGTAATCCCGCGCCGTGCTCCGTACCAGAAGTTCGGCCTTTTGCACAAACGCGATGCTCAGGTGCAGATTGTACGCCTGCCGTACACACCGTACGAGGCTGTTGAACGTGTGCATGTGCGCCATGCCTGACTGCTGGGCCGCGGCGGATGCCGCTTGCGCCGGCCCCGCGCCGCCACCGCCGGCCGCCGCCGCCACCGCCGCTGGGTTGTTCAACCCTGGAACGTAGACCTGTAACTGGTCCGGCGGCGAATACACCAATAACATGCAGTAACACGGTACGACAGGGTCCGCTGGCGGCGGCGCGGAGCCGCCGCCTGGCAGCGGCGCCGATACAGGCATGGAGGATGGCAGCGTCTGCAGGTATATGACGTGCGCGAGAGCCTGGGCCAGGGCGATGGGCCCGAATCCGCCACCGGCGAACTGAATCGCATCCAACGTGGACCGCACCTCGCTGACGCTCGTCGTCCACGTTATGCCGTCAACAGGCTGGTCGCTCGTGCCGTCAGCCACACCCACCAGTACAACCGCCAGCTCCACCCGACCAAAAACGCCCTTGTCAATGTACCGCAACAGGAGCTCCACGTATAGCGTTCGCAAGTTGTGCCAAAACTGCAACATGGATGCCGTGGCTTCGATCACAAAGACGACGCGGCTGTACGACGGGCTTGAGGGTGCGGCGGTGGCGACGGCCATAGTGGCAGAGGCGGCGGAGGCTGACACGAGTGCATTGCCGGTGCCTGGGGCAGGTGGTTGGGAAGCGCCTGATGCTGATCCAGGGGGGCCCGCGGCGGTAGGGACGACGCCGCTGCCGGCGGCCATGGTGGATTGGACCTGGGAGGCGTTTGGAGTTTGTTGCGCATGTTGGACGTGAGGTTGCACGTGTGATTGCGGTTGTTGTTGGTGTGATTGGTGCTGGTGCTGGTGCTGGTGCTGCGACGATTGCTGCTGCTGTTGAGGTTGCGGGGGTTGCTGGTGTTGCTGGGCTTGCTGCTGCTGTTGGTGATGGTGATGGTGGTGCTGCTGCTGCACCGGCTGGGGCGGTTGTTGTTGCTGGGGGGTTCCTGCAGCTTGTACGGCCTGCAGCGATGCCTGGCCTTGCTGCGTCAGCAGCATATGTTGTTGTTGTTGCTGTTGCTGCTGAAGCTGCTGCTGCTGTTGGAGTTGTTGCTGCTGGAGTTGTTGTTGCTGCTGCTGTTGCTGTTGTTGTTGATGCTGGATCTGCGCCTGTTGCTGCAGATGCTGCTGTTGCTGCTGTTGATGGGATGAGTGCCCCAGCTGCTGTTGCTGTGCGGGTTGCTGTGCGGATGTTTGCGGCATCTGGGTCATCTGTGGCATCCCCGAACCCGTTCCTAGACCAACCCCCGGCCCAGCACTCGTGCCTGGCACTTGCATCGCCTGCTGCTGTTGCTGCTGCATCGCCTGCTGTTGCATCGCCTGTTGCTGCATGGCTTGTTGCTGCATCGCCTGCTGCTGCAGAGCTTGCAGGTGGTGCGGCATCCCGGCGCCACCTGGAAGCACGCCTTGCTGGATATATGTAGCATGCTGCTGGTGCTGCTGATGCTGCTGGAAGAGCTGCTGCTGCGCTTGGCCGGGGTTGAGCATGGGAGTTGGTTGCTGCGGGGGAGTCAGGTGGGCATGCGGCGGCGTGTAGTGTTGTTGCGGCGACGCGTAGTGTTGCTGGGGCGGCGTCGCCTGCTGATGGAACTGCTGACTTGAAGCATGCTGCTGGTACTGCTGGTACTGTTGGTATTGCTGTTGTTGTTGCAGGTATGTCTGCTGGTTCATCCTGCTCTGGGTGCTCTGTGTGCACTCTTAACGCCAGCTGTTGTAGGCTAATAGTTTCCTAGGCCGCTCCCCACCCAAACGCCCAGTTTATGTTTGGCTTCCTCATAGCAGAGCTGTTTTCATATTACCGGCCATTAGCGATCGGCACAGAAGGACTATTTACTCTTGATAACAGTATAATCCAGCTCACACCCAAAAGATACAATCAACTAGATGTTTATTGCAACCTAGACCTGGAAAGTAGGCAAACGCACCATCGATTGAGTACCGAGTGCGAACACGAGTCTCATTTCATTTCCAGTCGGTACGTTGTGCAAAGCTGTACAAAATAGATACGGTTGGGAGGACTGCGCTAGGAATGGGAGTGCGCATGCGCCTAACTGTACGACATTTGCCTCACAATTACCCCCAAAGGCCGGCCATCAGAGGGCCCCCTCTGCATCCCGAATCGGCTCTTCATGTAATTGCGCCGTGCAACTCAGAGCGATGTGTGTAATGCTCCTCTTAAGCACGGACGATCACGTAACATTAATCTGGGCTTATCGCGCTCGAATGTGCTCACGGCACGCTACCCCTTCACGCGCGCGTATTGGCATTCATCGACACCTTTTGTTTCTCCTGGTCAGAATCTCTTACGGCTCTACTTGTCCAAACATTGAACCTCCTGAGCCACGTCCTCCTTACGCCCTTCCAGGGCTTCCGCCCTGTGTATGGGACTTGTACGACGCAATCATAGAAGCTCATAGGAAGAGTTTGATTTCCAAGCCAGAGGCCAAAATTGTTATAAGTCAACGACCTAATTTGTTTACAAAGTATGGCACATGAAAAGCCGACGGTGGGCATGAACTCGTCGTAATATATTGCCGGCCATCGCGTAGAGGATTGGTTTATGTCAAACCAACCCTTCACATCATGTCAGGCACAGTGCTCTGGACGGTCACTTCTTCAGACCGATATAGCGATGGGTTGGAAAGCTCTCACTTTTGTACAACAACGAACAATAATCAAAATTCCTGGCTTCGGAGCTTTGACCGTAAACGTAACTACTGAAACCTGAAGTAATACAGCATACGATGTTATGTAACCGATGGTAATGCAGGTAATTCCAGTACATCCTCTTGCTGTTACACTTTAAGGAGAGACGATGAAGCCTGCAAAGGAATTAAGCGCGCAGCTTCAAGCGCGATTAGCGCCTCCGGATGCACCAGCAGATGCGAAACGAGGAGGAAGTGACTACAGTAAACTACGGAGCATTATAAGGAGCCAAAAGGACCAAATTCAGGTATGCCATCGCCCTAAGCAACACGCCCCGAACCGCTTCAAGGTTGAGTACACTTATACTACATCGATATGAAAACAACTCTCTATCTGACGGCTTCTCTGCTGTCACAGCTCGCCGATCTCCATCCCTGGCAAGGAAAGCCAGCCAATGTTGCTTTGCCACGACTAACGTCGATGATTGCATAAGCCATGTCGTCACCGATGTGCCATGGTTCTGAAAAGTATCAGTCGCAAATGGTGCCGTACGGCGCGACAGCTGGTAAAACCCCACCGACAAACTAGGGCGGAATAACCCTGGCGCCCGAAACCAACAGCACTATGCCCTTGCTCACGCGTAAAACTCCCGGCACTTTCCCTCATAAGCACATAAAACCCCGTGTCCGCATCTGACATACCTTCACCATCCCGCTCCCCAACCCTTTCCACCCTTCCCGTCACCCCCAACCCCAACTCCTGCCTCAACTCCGCACCGCACTCCACACGCGCACCTTCAAAGGGTCTCGAGAATGAGGTCGCGCACTTTCAAGCACGGCAACACCGGATAGAGGATGGGCACCGTCTTGAGCTGGCGCGTCTCAAAAAGGAGGTCGAGTACCACAAAAGGCTTCGTCAGGTATGTGCCTGTGTGCGTTCCCCAACTTAATCAAGCTCGCCCCCAAAAAATATTAAACAAAAATTTAGCAGCGCGCTACTATCCGGACATGTACATGTCATGACATGTACATGCACACAGTGGGTACGCTACCGTACGAATGTGCGTACGGCGATTGCAGTTCCCGCACCCTCCAGCTCTATCCCCGGCACTCCCACCCACTGCATATCACTTGGCTTTGGACGTATCGGCACAACTAGCCTTATCTTCTTGCATCACCACCAACATATGACTTTCCCTCTCACAGCCGCAGCCTCCTCTGCTCTCCACTTCCGTATCCAGATCCAACCGCCAAATCAACCACCCAACCATCTCCTTAACTGCCACCTTCCATCCACCCTTACGGTATTCACGCTCGCTCACCTCGCGGTTGTTTCTTGTAATTTTGTATATCATCCCCTTCTTTTCCTTTTTTATCTCATTTCTCCACTAACATTTTTATTTCGCTACCTATTTATTCCCTTGAAGTATATTCCCTTCGGTTAACGTACGGGCTCGCCCGTCCACCTTTCCCTAGAAAGCCCCATCCCCATCTCCTTGGGCACCTGGGTCGTTGGTCTTTGTGGTTGGAGTCAGTGAGCCACATTGCAGTACATTGCAGTACATTCCATTGCCCGTGAAGTTACAAAGTTGCAAGTTCCGCACAAGTGCGGCGGGAAGAAGAAAGGGCCGTACAAGTCGAGGGGGCCATCCCCTTCCACATCTCTCCCATGTCCCACCACCACCACCCTGTCTCGCTATTTCCAAACGATGAGTTGTGAGAATTAGAAACAAACACGTCAATAATTGTTGGTGAAACGTTTTTTTTTACGCATAGGCGGCCGACCAACGATCTTACGAGTTGGAGGACCAGCTGTCTCGTCTGCGACAGAATCAGCAGATGCCATCTCCGGCAACTGTACGACATCTTAGTCAGGTGGAGAGGGATCGGGAGGAGAAGGACAGTCTCATCTTGCAGAGCCAACTGCTCATTTCTAAAAACAGCGAACTCACGACGAAGGTCAAGCAGGTAAGGTGGCCGTGGTGAGGGGATGGGCGGCACGGCGAGGGGGGACGACAGGGGGGGTCGGACGAAAGGGGGGGGAGGAAAGAGTGGAGTAAAAAGGGGGGGAGAAGTGGTGAGTGGGAGTGGGAGTGCTGGTAGTGAGGCAGTTGGCAAACAGAGGTGAGAGGTTTCTTTGGCGTTGTCTGTCCTACGCTGTCCATGTATCCATCCATCCATACTGTCCATCCAGCTAGCTGCATGCGCCCCTTGCTCCTGCACCCCCCTGCTCCTGCACCCCCCTGCTCCTGCACCCCCTTGCTCCTGCACCCCCCCCTGCTCCTGCACCCCCTTGCTCCTGCACCCCCTTGCTCCTGCACCCCCTTGCTCCTGCACCCCCTGCTGCTCCTGCACCCCCTGCTGCTCCTGCACCCCCTCCTGCTCCTGCACCCCCTGCTCCAGCACCTCCTCCTGCTCCTACTGCACCTGCTGCTCCTGCTTTCCGCCGTACAGTTGCAGTCCCAGGTGACCCAGCTTGAGGAGCTGAAGGCGGCTCTGGAGAGCGAGCTCAACCAGGCCTATTGCGAGAGGGACGAAATGGCGACGGAGCTGGAGAGGGTGAGAGGGTGCTGCCCGGGGCGCGGCTGCTGGTCAGGGAAACCTAGGGCTTTAATCCCCATAGAGCTTATTCCCCATAAAGGAGTGTAGTGCCGCTCGTTCTGTCTCTTTACCGACCTTGTTGGTCGGTAATTGGTCGTCTCTGTAGGTGCTGTAGTGGCTGTGCTGGCGGTGCGGCGTCCTTGTCCTGTCCTTTGCTAGCCTCATGAATCACATGATTAAGGGGAATCCGTGGCTGAATAACTGCAGTTAAACTGATTTCAACAAAGTGAGTTGAAGCTGGACGACCCAACATGTGATCTAAAGTGCTGCGGTTTTAAGTAAAGATTTTTCACGAGCGTTTTTTCCGGTGGTATTTTTGTCGTTTTGCGGGTCCGCAGATGCTCTCCAGGCAGCACCACCAGCAGCAGCTCAGCAACCGCCGTTCCGTGGAGGGGGATGGGGACGTGGGGCTGGAGGTGGAGGGTGAGGGGGAGTTGGAGTACGAGGACGGCAGCCGGGACAGCGGCTGCGGTGGTATGAGCCGCCGCGACAGCATTACCGGCACTTGCGGCGGCGTTGGTGACGGCAGCAGCAGTGGCGGCAACGGCGCTGGCAGTCGAGGCGGCAGCAGTGGCGGTGCCGGCGGCAGTAGCACACTCCCGGAGGAGGCGGCGGCGGCGGCCTCGATGGAGGGCGGTGCTGGGCAAGAGTCGACGGCCTCTCTAAACCCGGCTCACAGCTGAGGGCCGAGGGCCCTGCGTAACAAACGTTTTTTAAAGGAAAGAACAATAAGAAACATACCCAGGCGCGAATCGAACGCGGATCGAACGCGGATATATATGTCGCTGATAGATGTTGGGAGGGGGGAAGTAAATGGTCTAGGGGTTTGGGTATTGCTTTGGAGCGGGCGGACGATGCAAAAGCCCTTCTCATTTTTTTCTGTTGGGCGGCCCTCCAGGGGGCCGTCTCTTCAGGGGGGAGGCGCGCCTCCGGTTAGTCTGATTAGGAGGAAGACGAACACGCAGGGGACCCGCAAAAAAGGGGGAAGGAGGCGGAGGAGGACAGGGTGTTGCAGTGGAGAGGGGCCCGGGGGAGGGAGGGGGAGGGAAAGCGATAGCAGCGGCGGCGGACGCAGCGGCAGCTGGGTCGCCAGCAGCGGCGGTGGTCCGGCTTGGATCGGGTTTCACACCGTGGAGGCCCCGTCGAGGCGATCGATGTGTTGCTTGCTTAAAATTCGTTGCAATTCTCATACGGTTGCTCAGGCCCTTCGACTCTCCTTCCTCTTCTTCTTTTTCTTCGCTACTCCGCACGTCCTCGAATAGATGCGGACAAGGGCCGCGCCCAAAAAAGGGGGTTGAGGAACGGATTTGGGGCGAGGGGAGTTTGGGAGTGGCGGAACCTGGGTTGAGCGACACCCCCTCTTTCCTGACACATTTGCGTGGTACTGTGCACACGGCCCTTTCCATCGCATGGGTAGCATGTGTGTAGGCGTTGCGTGGCGCCGGTTGCGGTGCGGATTGATTTTGTCTTACCAAATGTTTGCCAATGGGGGGTTTGACAATGGTACGACAGCGGTGATGGTGACTGTGACGGTGACGATGGTCAGCCCAGGACGATGGTCAGCCCCTTGAGAGATGCACAGCATTTTTTACCCCTCTACATTGTCATGACGGTGGGGGAGAGCTCAACGGACAAATGAACGTGTTTTGTGGCTGTCTGTGGGGGGTGTTCCTCTGGACGAGTTTATTGTTTGCCCTTGAAGACGCGCAGCTAATAATTCTTAGCTACGGCGGTAAGGAGCAGGGAAAGGCCTGGAGACTTAAGTAGAGGTGTACGGGATCTGTTGGCGGCATGGGAGCTTTGAGTGCACTGCATTTATGACAACTCGATGACGCCGCACACGTTCAGGCAGCGGCTTGCGTGCAGGTTTCGGCGCCGCCTCGATGTCTCAGCAGCGCAGGATATGAAGGGGCGGAGGGGGGCGCACGCACCAAGAGAGGGGGAGGGGTTAACTGCCGACAGAGGACAGGGGGGAGAGGGAGAGGGAGGAGAGGGGGGAAAGTCACGCAGGTTTAACTTGGTTCCCTGTCTTTGTTGCGTCCCATGTAGCAGGTTTGTACGGCTTATACGGCACATCACACGTGACTTTTGCCAGCGCAGTGAGGTAGATACCTGGTAGGCACCCCCGTGTATTGTCTACAGCTTTGTGACCCGATGTCTGTCACCAGTAACAGGGAAGGGAATGAATGGAGGATGTGAGTGTGTTTGTTTTTTGAAATGCGTGTGTGCTTGTTTAGTCGTAACATCGAACGTGCTGTGCGCACGCGCGTGGATGTGTGTATATGTGTGTGTGTGTGCGTGTGTGTGACAATGTACCCGAACAGAGCACAGCGCTGTGAGTACGTCTATTTGCAAACCTACCCATACTAGCTGCTCTCTTAGCAGGGACCTCGCCCGGAGGGCGCAGATTTGCCGGGCGTTGCTGCGCGTCGCAGGTTGTTGTTGGCCAAAGCTGGCTGGTTTTTTTGTTTGTTTAGTGAAAGGGCGGATTCAGGAAAAGGCATGATGGCGTGTTTTTTGGTAGGAGAGGATGGCGATGCTATGCAGGGGTTCGCTTGGCAGGAGGTTAGCTTGCCAGAGTTGGCATCTCAGCTTCGGGAGGTCTGTTGGCGGTTGAGGTGGTTGGTGGTAACTCGAAGGTAGGGACCTTTTGATACAATAAACTACGGAGAGCGCATAAGTTGGTCACGGGTGGGGGAAACACTGCAATGCTGGCATAGTAGCCACCACCGCACGGAGGAGCAGTCGTGAGACAAATCATCACTTTACTTTACATCAGTTCCTTCAGTTCGACAGTCCTTCATGAGGTAATCTTTCGAGAGCCAGCACCAGCACAACGTATGGTGCGGCATAAGCACGCACACTCGAGGGAGGGAAAGTACCCGAGGGCAATTCCATTGCGCTTTCGGCGTTACTTGCCGCCCCTAAGAACGACCTTCCTGCCCCTTTCTCCACACGCTACCTGCCCCTTACCAGCGGACTCCTTCACCTTCACCTCCACATGGCCGCCTCACCAACTGCAAGCATTCCGAAATCCCCCTCCTAAAGGGGCATTTACTGTAGCTGTCCGTAGTAAGAAGTGATCCGGGATCTAAGATCCCAATCGAGCAAACACACACACCTCACACCCCAGTGTCAGGCCCGGAATGGTATGGAACAAATACACACACGCACACGGTCTCGATATCATGGCTTCTGTCCTACATCTTGTCACCTCAAGATATGTCTACAGTTTCTTACGCGAAAGGCTCACACACCGCTGGACTACGGACCTCGCATCGGTACAGTCATTCGTGCACCCATTTCGGTTTGTTCACACATTGCGGCTCAGATTAAAATCACACACACACACAGCCGTTGCCCGCCCACCAATAGTACCCGGCGGATGAAATTACGCAGCTGTGTCGCAACACGCCCACATCACCGTGTGATGGTCAACCCAATGTGCTGACGTGCTTTATTTCTCTCCCCAGTGGCCGCATGACCAGTACGGTGTACCATGTGAGTGAGTGTGTGAGTACGTGCGTGATAGTTTTTTTTGTGTGTGTATGTGTGTGTTGCGACTTTTGCAGAATGCGACTTTTGCAAAAATCACAGAGCGCGGTGCTTTTGTTATGAACGCATAACGCATCGACGCGTAATTTGTTAATAGAAAGACACCATCCAAAAAAATCCCCAAAACAAAATCGAACAAGATACCAAAGTACACCGGCCTTATGCGGCATATGAATGAAGTGTTTATTCAGGCATTTATTCAGGCATTTATTTTTTGTATTACTTTTATACCACTTTTACAATGATATACTATATTTCGCTTGTTTAGGGTGATGCACTAACAACCACCTGCCTGCTGCTCACCGCAGCGAAGTGCATGTATGCGCGTCGCACGATGCAGGCATCGACGCGGCAATCTCCTTGCCATTCCTGCACTTCGATGTCAGCAATCCAAACCCAACTCACCACTACATGCCAACCAATCAGCGAATGGCGCCCATGTCGCGTATTACTGCCGTGGGCCTTGATAGGCCATATCGCCATTGGAAATCCATCCATCCATCCATCCATCCATCCATCCATCCATCCATCCATCCATCCATCCATCCATCCATCCATCCATCCATCCATCCATCCATCCAACCATCCAACCATCCATCCATCCAACCATCCATCCATCCATCCAGCACAGCCACAACATAACCAAGGCAACAACAGCACACCGCGCACGGTAACCCAACCACATGTACGACATGTACCGCGCTCCGAAAGCTATGGCCTGTGTCGAGGCCCTCCGGCGAATAACCGCAACAGGCGCAGGAACGCCCCGCATCGGCGGCGCGTGCAGAAGAGGGCGCGAAGACGGCGCGCAAGTACAGCACATACCCCTCTGCATGCAGCTGTGTGCGGTATTCCATTGCTACATAGCGCACTGCATATGTGGGAAGGGGAGAGGGCGCAGGAAAAGTAGGTCTCATGGAAAGGGGACCAACAGGACCGGCTTTCCTTTCATGAAGACCATACAGCGCGGCCGTGATGATGATGATGATGATGGTGGTGGTGGTGGTGGTGGTGGTGGTGGCAATGGTGGGCATTGCGACGGCTTTGAAGTGTCGTGTTGATGCTGCATGGTAATTGGTGCCGCATGATAGTCACATCAAGGACGACGATAGCGGGACAGTACATGCCCGGTGCACGTGCGAGATGTGTGATGCGCAATGAGAAATGGCGTGGGTGCTACTCCCGTGGGTGCTATTCCCAGAGGATGGAAAATGTGATGTCTGTTGAGATGTGTATGATCGATCTATCACATCTTGAGCATCTTGAGGGACTGTCATGTCCTAACCAGGCAACCAAAAATAAATTCACGAATTGTGAAAATCTCGCGCGTGGTGGCGCACTGGTGGACGGACATGCGCGTAGTGGCGCACTGCCCGCCACCGAGGGGGCGAGCGCGTCCATCCACGCCACATCGCTCAGCGGTGGCAGTGGCGGCGCTGATGGTTGATACAAACATAACGAACTAACCGCCCCGGAACTGATTTTCCATGGTACCGCTAACTCATCCTTGTCCTCGTTATAGGCATCCTTAAAAAAAACCTATCCTTATCAATATCGACCCACCTGACCATTGTGGTATCACCATGCATGTTCTTGCTTTCCTCAATTTGCATGCACAAGCTTTTCCCCCTCCTCCCCACCACCACCACCACCACCACCTCGGGATCCCCCAGCCGTACATTCGTTCCCTCAGCAACTTACATCGTCGCTTACCCCTCTGCCTGCCGCTCAATTAGCTACCCTGCCACCTACATCAGTACAGGACGGAAATCGTACGTGCGCCGTACAATGGACCGGGGTGAGGGGACTCCCCCCCCCCGGGGGCCGGAAAGGGCGCTTTCGCCAACGAGTCCAAATATACATTCCTCCAAAAATACTTGACACACATAAAAAAAAGGATATCGCGGGACCGCCTTAGTGCTACTCATAATAATCCTGATAAGTGTTTTTTCCGCATCGAAAACACCCACCATCATCATCACATCAGCAACGAGAATCACAACTGCCACTCGCTCAGACACACGCGCAGCTGATAGGGCCCGACAGCAGTGGGACGGCAATGAACCGCCGTGTTGGTTGCCAATCATGATGATGACAGATGAAGGCACGTGCCTTCATGGTGCACCACAACGAAATGTTACCTTCGACTCTAACGGCGATTTTTACTTAAACTCCACCATCTCAAACCGCATTTTCCTAAACTGCGGCGCTCCCACCCGGCTATCAAACCGGTTAGCTCATTGTCGCTCTGGCAGGTACAAGGCCGCACTCATCCATTATGAATTTCCCGCGCAATCCGTACGGCATGAGTAAAAGGCACATACTTCGTTTTGGTGCATCTAAGTAAGTAATACGGCACTACTAGTACATACAGGGCTCAGCTGAGATTTGAATTATCTCATAAAGGCTACAGAACTATAGACTTGTGTAAAAGTGCTTTCGATCTTTGAATGCGACTCATCAGTTTTTTATTGAGTTCGCCGCTGAACGGCGACACGAGGGCGCCACCCACTCGATGCCCCCCCCTCGATGTATAAATTATCACAAAACTAATGTTCTTTCCACATTCTCTTATGCACGAAAACTCTTTAATGTCCATTTCCTTCGCACGCGGCCTTATCGATTATTGGGGCCTTTAACAACATTGCGAACCCTTCAACAACAACAACAACAACAACAACAACAACAACGGCTCTCGCTTAGTTTGGATTGCAGTCTTCTGCGCGCTGCGTTGCCTAGCCAGGGGCTGGGAGAGCGTCCCGGTTGGCGTGAGTGAGGGAATGAGGCGCGCGCGGAGGAACAGACGAACGTAGAGCCGCGCGCCCGTCCCTGCGCTGTGTTTCGGCCCCCGGTGCTCGCCCTTTTCTCGGGGCGAGCCGCCCACAGTGTAACACCCCATCAACAACAAAAAACAGCAACACGAGGTCAGGTGCAGAGCGGCTTTATAAGTGTCAGGATTATTGGTCTCATATGCGCATATGCGGCACAAACAGACATCGCAGCAGGAGCTGTCCGCAGTCCGCGGGGTCGCGCACTGCGGCTGCTGAGCTGCAAGCCGACCAGAGAAGGGCGCGCAGAGAGTGGCAACATGCAGGGCTGCTTGCTAACTCGCTCTTCACTCGTCCTCCCCTTCGTAGATTCCGTTCATAATCTCAGTCTGCGTAAGGACGTCCAGATTCCAGTTGAACGAGTCCAGAACCTTTTAAAGGCCGCAGTCAGCGAGGCACAGCACACGGGGGCACAGAGCACGGAGGTGACGACAGTTTCAGATGAATTCAGATTCGAATTCAAATTTTAAAAGAGTACACCAATGGAAACCGAGCCGTGACAGACAGGCCTGCATGTGCTGCCATGCATCCATCTCGGCAGTTCCTACCCTCATCGAAAGGGGGTTTCATGCTTTGGAAAAAAAGGAGGTCCGTTTTATTGCGGGCTTGCGTTGCAGAAGCCGGATTAGTTGTTTTTGTTTGTTCGTGGGGCCTTTTGCTTTCGGCCCTTAGGCCTCCACGACATTCCTGTAACAGAAGTGGCACAATGGCAATAATTAGCTCTCTTGGAGCAGCAACTATCATGACATGCGCACATGCCGGTCAACGCGATACCTAGGAATCCCACATCCGTCTCAAGTCTCGAGTCGCACATGTGTGTACACGCACCAGTCTGTGGTTCTCCAGCTCTTCTAGCGGCACGCAGCTAAGGATGCGGTTGACTCCGGCACAGTCAAGTATCGCTACCGTGCCTGTATCGAGCTCCATGGTGTCAAGGGGGCTGTGCGACGGAGGTGAGATTGCAGCCCTGCTGGACTTGGCGCTAATGACGATGTCACTGCTCGCAGCCTGGCAGGTGGTCATGCTTTCACCGCCACAGCCTTGGTAACGCCGTCGCAGGATGTCGATTGATGTGCGCCGATAAGGTGTAGGGGGTGCGACGGCTTCCTGTCCATGTGCGCGTATGGGTGGAGGGATGGTTGGGGACGTCCGAAGATTGCTGACCCGTTGGAGTTTGTGTTCGGCTTCAGGACTGCATTGTTTGTGGTCTTGTCGGCTCGAGCTGTTAAAGCACCACATGAACCGCGTTGCGACCAATTCTCGTTTGTTGAGCTTTTCCAAGTGGCAAACGATATTAAGGATTCGGTCCCCACGCAATTAAAGTGCGTTCGTAGCTTTATACTACTTGTGCGCCGCTACGTGCTTTCCAATTATGAACCTTGTACTCCTCATCCCACCACGCGGTGTTGTGGGAGAATGGACAGGCAGTTCCCAAGATGTTGCTCAACAGAAAACCAATAAATTAATACTTACCAGGAACTGGTTTCTAAGGCGTTGCACGTTTCCAACTGAATAATCGCTCTTGGGGTCCGCGTGCTGCCCCGGACTTGTTGCAGGGCCTCGCTCAGCCTTTACAAGGAAAATGACGGCTGTGCCACAAATCACAATAATTCCTATGATAATTGCGACCACATAATTGGCGGCTGCGTTAGGGCTGTATCCGTCGAGCATTTCCTGAAGCTAAAACAGCTGAACAGTTGAAACCGGTGCACAAATAGGCCCAAGCAGTACGCAGGTATCCTTTACCTGTGCAGCGAGAGTTCCCCACAGTATCGCAAAAGAATGAAGTACAATCACACATACTCAGTACAACCGGAACGAAATACTTCACTGGGCCATGTCTAGCCTCACAAATAGCTAAGCACTAAGACGCTTAATGAGACCTTCTACTGCAGGTCTATTGGTATGTCCCAACGGGACAGTCTTCAAGATACGCCCTGCCTGGTTTCGGCGTGCAGTACAGATATCGGAAACAACAAAATCCACGAACAAATCCACAACGACAAAATACTTGGAAGCCCTGCGATTATCCTCATGCATAACCTTTTATAATCACCTCCCAGGAACCGTATGTCTGGACTGGGAACTGGGCACGTTGCTGTCGCGGCAAAACCAACAAGGATATAATCGCTCTCCATGGACAGCAGGCCTAGCTATGAGCTATTAGTACAGCTTTGTGTGACTAATCGTGGCACAGTCTCCATAACACAAAGAGAAATGCGCGCCTGCCACTTGAGTGACTAGGAGTGACAAGTACGTTACGCATCTCGCACAGCCCGCACCCACGCTTCGCACGTATAACATGCAACTACATACTCTTTAGACACGAACACACACACATACAGACACACACATACACACACACCCCAAAAAACTCATCTCAAAGAAGTCGGGCAGTGATAGACAGGTTTGGTACGGCACGGCTGTACGGCGACTGACGGCGGCGACACATTTTGATCTGTAGTACAATGGCTGTCCTAGATTACAGTGCCGTATTCCGTATACCAGCCGTGTTCGGAAAGCGCACCGCCATGACCTCCGACACCCACGCTTTCCCCCACCCCTGGGGGGAAATGATACTGGGGGGAATGATACCTTTTACATCCCCACACAGAGTGGAAACCCAAGCCCTAAAGCAGGACACGTGCCGTACCATACTATTGCCGTACACCTGTACTATTTTAATAATTTCAGTATGCCTGTAAAAGCCTAAACATGTGTCAAGTTAAGTTCGCAGCAAGATTTCGAGGAGGACACATTCTCAATTTCAACTTGCGAGCTGACCAGAAACTAAGTCGAGGCGCCGTTGATACGCTAGATTTGGTTGGATGCTGGTGGTGAGATGCTGAACCCAATGAATACATTCTGATGTCGGATGGGGTGAACGGATTAGGGTGGCCCTCTCGCAGGGGAGAGCAGGGAACTGCCCCGGGAAAGGGGGCCGCTGGTGAAGCTATACCACCCTGTACCAATACATTCTTTCCAAAAAGATTGTGAAGACGCACGCGCGACAGATATCAAACCAACCCCTCGCCCCATATGTAACACGATGAACCCGGCCCCTGGCCACCTGACGGCCTTCCCTTAATTCCAGGTTTGCCTTATTTTTGTGTTCTTTTGTAGTACGGATCTTTTGCAGTACGGATTTGCTGCAGTACGGGTCTCGGAAAGGGTATGGGCTCGCCAGCCTTCTCCCCCTTCTCTTGCACGTCACCCCCTCTCACCGCTATCCTCACTTCGGCAGAGCACACTCCGCACGGCCTATGTGGATCAAATACGTGGACGCAGATCCCTCAGCAGGATCCAAATCCCACAGCAGGATCCAAATCCTACAGCAGATCCAAAAATCCCACAGCAGGATCCAAATCCCGCACATCACTCGAGTCTGTCTGGGCATTTCGTGTCCCGTAGCTAAGATATAATGACACAGATCAGCTGACAAGGTGATATGTTGAAGTGCCGTTGAAGTGCCTCAGTTCGCATATTCCCCCTAAAAACAGGAAAAAAACCGCCATTGAGGGACATTGTCAAGAAAACATTATAAACACAGCTAAACCGTTTAGTTGTTTACGTTTTGGCACTTACAGGAACCTGCTACTGCTACTACAAACCTATCTGCTGCTGCAGGTGTACATTTACACCTTTGGGAGGGTAACGCAACTCCAGAAAGTGATTCACACATATACATACACCCATACATACATACATGCATACACACATGCATACACACATACATACACGTATACATACACACATAAGGGTTTGGCACCACTGGTAACGCGCGACCATTGCCCCCGGGAGATCCCGGGATCGATACCCGTTAGGGTCAAAAGTCCTTCCGATGGTGGAAGGCGTTGCGCCCCTAGTTGATGGACGGTGGTGACCTGGGATAAAGTTAACCTGCGAGCCGACCAGGAATGGAGTTGGGCCGCTGTCGACCCGGCAGATTCCGTTGGATGCTGGTGGTGGGTGCGGAACCTGAGCGATCCACTGAGAAGTTGACTAGGGCGACTGGATGAGGGTGCCCCGAAATACCGGGGAAGGCAGGGTTTCGCAGGGTAGCTGCCACGGGCGAAGATACACCCCCCTGTTTCACACATCATACACACATACATACAGGGATGTTCATCACAGCCCCGCGGCCTGTCCGTGTTCGCCCATGGCTGGGTATAGCAGCCATGACACGCTTTCCGCCCAGATATCACACCGACTGCATATACAAACATACAAACATACACCGAAATTCCTCTTTCTCACGCCTCTCCCGCGGCCCTTCAATCCGCAGCACTCACGAGCGCCGTGATGCCCGTGCATGCCCGCTGTACGGCACGCCCATGGCATACGCCTCCAGTGAATCCGACAAAATGACCAGGTGGTGCCGGGCGGCGATCAGCTGCATACTGGCAATCGACTGGCGAGCCCCTGCGCGGCCCCCTCCGCTGCCACTACCGCTTCCTCTCTCCTCCCACATAAGGCCCTTTCTGGGGCTTCCAAATGAGCCACACGCATCGGGCCGTCTACTGCTGTGACTGCTATAGCTGCTGTGACTACTGCTACAGCTAATGTTGCTGCTACAGCTAGTACGACCATCGGCTCGCAGACTCGATCCACCTTCCCCTATGAACATCGCCTCCTCGTCTGTCGCGACAAAACCACCATCTCCGCAAAGCACGTCCGGCTGAATGGTACGGCATAATACGGCCGTCGGTGCAGGCAGTAACGGCGGCTGCGCCGCCGCCGCCGCCGCCGCCAGGCCGTCGGTGCCGGCAGGGAATGCAGCCGCCGATGGCGCTCCAGGGCCGCTTCCGCCGCTGCTGCACTGTCGTCCCAGCGCCAGGCCCGATACGAGGTCGCCCATCCTGAACGCAAACAAGCCTGGCCAGGCCAGCTTGCCGGGCGCCAGCGGGAATTGCAGGCAGCGGAGCAGTAGCAGGCCCCCCGTAAGACACATCTGGAGGGGCTGGTCCCACTTGAATTCGGAGAGGGGCGCCCCACGGAGGACGTACTGCTGGGGAGGCGTCACCTGCGGTTGGTTTGTGCGTGCGTATGTCTGTAAGTCTGTATGTCTGTAAGTTTGTAAGTTTGTATGTCTGTAAGTCTGTAAGTTTGTATGTCTGTAAGTTTGTAAGTTTGTAAAAGTTTGTAAGTTTGTATGATTGCGGGAAGTAGGGGGTATTGGTTAACCCGTCTGGAAACGAGCCTGGCAGTCCCGACCTTACCCGACCCTCCGGGAGCCAGGGCCAGCGACAACACCCTTCAGCCGCCGACGACGTTACAGCTTCACCCGTCCTCCCCGTTACCTTCCCCTCTCCTCACCGTCCTAATTACAAACGGGGCTGTAGCAGCAGCAGTACAAGCTGTAGCTGACGTCCCGGCCGGTAATTCGCCACCGGCGCCGCCGGTACGACCGACGACACCATCCGGCACACCGCCGTCACCGCCGCCGCCGCCGCCGTCATCAGGAGCGCTGTGGGCCCCGGCAGCAGCGGCGGCAGTGGCGACAGCCGCCGCTGCCGCCACCACCGCCGCCAGGTCTATCGCCGCCACCTCGACTTCGAATTGCAGAAAGTTATTTCCCAGGAAGGAGGGCGAGGAGGACGCTACGAACAGAACACCCCCTGCGGCGAGAAGGGCCGTGTTCCGCCTGTTTGCAGCAGGAAGGGGGTAAGGCGATCACAGACGAGTGAAGCAGATAACAGAGATCGCTCCAGGTTACTCCAGGAATAGACAGACAGATACTGCAGCGGGAAAAAGGGGGAACGGGGGACCCCTCCCTGTACCGCACGCGCAGCTGTGTGTGCATATGTTGCCTCCACGTACACACGTACACACGTACACACATACATACATACATACATACTTGCGAGCTGACCAGGAACTAAGTTGATGCGCCGTTGATCCGCTAGATTTGGTTGGATGCTGGTGGTGAGTTGCCGAACCCAACGAATACATTCTGAAGTCGGATGGGGTGACGGATTAGGGTGCCCCTCTAGCAGGGGAGAGCAGGGACTGCCCCGGGAAAGGGGGCCGCTGGCGAAGTTGACCACCCTGTAACAACATACATACGCACCTGTCCTGCAAGCTGTGCAGCCAGCGGCCCCCCCGGGTCGCCCGTAGTTCCACACCGTCCCAGGACCTCATGGCCAATACACCGTGGCGGGCGGAGAGGGCCAGGGAGCGCACG